GAGATTGGAAATCCTATTTGGATGCAGCTGTCGTGTGTGTGAACCATGTTTGTATGTTTTTAGGTTTTAAGTTGTTTTTGTTGGTTTCATTAAAGTGATTTGAGACCATTAAAATTAAACATTCTGTTAAAGCCCAACTCTCATTTTAATTCGATGTGTACATTATATGTTATATTCTTTAATGGGGAAAATCTATCAACCATATCAACCAAAGTAACTTCATCACTGATATCATTTCTAGAGGCTGATGAAAGGTTGGAAATGCTGCACCATCCTTATGATTTCCCACGGTGCTACACCCTGAAAGTACACTTATAGTTTTAGCAAATTACAAGAGGATCATTATTATTATTATTACCCAGCCCACCGGTTTCAAGCTTATAGACAAATAGGCTGTACAGCTGTAGTTATGCAAAGAAGCAAACATGTTCAGAAATTTTTGTTGCCAATTATTTTTTATCAGCCAGTTGAGGGGAATGTATCTTGTCGTTGTTAGCCTATGTTTTGTGTTTTTGTGTTGTGGGTGGAAACCGGAGTACCTGCGAAAAACCCACGCAAGCACGGGGAGAATACAGAAACTCGACACAGAAACATGGAGGGAAAACCACATGCTAACCACTGAGCCTCTGTGCTGCCCGTAGAGAAAGAGCGGAAAGAGGAGAGAGAGAAAGAAACAGGGTGGGCGGAGTTAAAGGTGAAGGAGAAGGAGGAATGCAAGAAAACAGAGATTTAACAGTTGGAAGGTGGATATGGTGAATGATGGATGATGATGGAGAGAAAGATCAGTGAGCGTTGATTTAAGAGAGGTGGAGGAAGAGATGGAGAAGTGGAACAGAATGGAATGGAGGCCAGGTGGAGAAAGGAGGGATGTGGAAGCGACTGTTGTCCAGCCTGAGCTGAACCCCCAGCAGCCTCGTGCGCACTCTTGTCAGCAGAATGTTTCCTGTTTCTGGTCACCCAGGACCAGGAGCCTTTTTTCTTTTTCTCCGGCTCTTTCTCCCATTTTATTTTTTTCTTCTTTTTCCTTTCTTTGCTTTTTTTCTTGGCCTCCTCCTACTCGCCTGATGTGGATCTGAAGAGCCTGAAGCTTTTTTCTTTTTCTTCTGATGTTCCACAAGCTCTGTTTTTGTTCCACAGTTTATTATTTTAAACTACATTATTTATTTTATTCTTCGGCAACAACACTGCATAATTTTGCAGCTGTTCTGTCTTGTCCTTTTGAATTTCTGTTTTTTTTTTATATTTTGCCTCTCATTGTATGTTTTGAGTTTTTCAGAATTTCTGGCCTCCACTTCTTTGTGCTTTTTTTTTTTTTTACCAGTTTTTCGTAATCTTGCACTTGTTTTATGTTCTCCTGCTGCATTTCTGTTCTGCAGCTGTTGGTTCTTCATCTCAAACGCTTTACATTTCTGCTGCAGTTCTCGTTTTTCTTCCATTTGTTTGCTTTGCTGAAATTGCTTGTAGTCATGTGTATCATGATCATGATGTATCATGTATTGTGTGTGCATCTTTCATCTTTGCTTCCAGCTCTGCCACTTCCAGATGCATCTTTCCCTCCATTATTTGGTATATGTGCTCCAGCTGTTTATTTTTTTCCTCCAGCTGTGCATGCTGACTTTTTATGCTCTCCAGCTCTTGTGGCTGCATAAAGATTATTCTTCTCTTCCAGATCTTTGTATTTGTGCTCCAATTCTTGCATCTCTTCCAGATATTTTTTATTCTGAAATTACTTCTGTTCTTTTCGAGTACTTCAACTTGGATGTGTGCATTGTTAAGGTTTACGTTCTCATGCTTCAATATATGGTTTTCCTCTTCTAGCTGTTTGTTTTTTTCCTCAAGTAGCTTACATTTTCCCCCCATGTTTTTCTAAAATCTGCAAAGGTATCTGCATGAAAGAAATTTCGTCTTTCATTCACGTTCATTCATGACATTCTGGTAGCTTGTTGCCAAGACTGTCCAGTTTTAGCTTTTTCAGGAGGGTTTTTTTTTCTTTTGTTTTTACAAAAAATAAATTTCTAGAGCATAAAGTAAAAACAAACTTTTCTGTGTTTGAAAAAGTTAGAGGTTTTATTAGAGACATAGCTAATTGTCTTGCAATTTGACATAATTTGTAAAAGTTAAAAATTTCTTTAGTATTGAAAAGCAGAAATTAGGCTTTCTTTTCAGAATTTTTGGGGAAAACACGAAAAGAAAACCACCAACCGACAACACTGTACACAGCAGTAGACTGGTGTGTAGTATGCAAGTAAATAGTGCAGAAAATAGAGATGTTTGATGGAAAACTGGTCTCAAAGCACACTGAGAAATAGAGCTGTGCAGGACGTGTGATTCTATTGTGGTGGAAACAAGACAAAGTAGGAGATTCATTACAATCTTTTTCAGATGTGAAGTGTAGTTTTGGTGTTCTTTTGCTGTTGATCTAATGAATTGTGTGATGAAACCTGCCCTTTCAAGATTTATGAGATGTCCTTTTTCTGCTCCCGACATGTCTGTGTAGGTGCCATCGGATGAACAAGAGGATCTGTTGATGTTTCTGTGGATACCACTTGTCTATATTTAAATAACAAAACTGGAGGGGAATCCCATTAAACCAGATATTGTCTCTCTCCCCTCTGACTTTGTGCTTTACAAACTCGAACATTAGGCAACCAACCAACCTTGCTGACAGAAGATGGCGCTAAACATGTTTTTAAAACGTTAACTTTAAACACTTGTTTCTTGAATCCAGCTTCACAGACAGTGTTACATGTATGTCAGTTTTTGAGAGCAGGGCTCAGTGATGTAAAGTAGCCTTTATATGTGTAGCATTTTATGTCCCTTTAATAATTGAGATGAAATTATTTCGCATACGTTTGACAACTCTGGTCTAATAGTCCCGCCCACTAACATGCGCAATAATGAAGAGATAATCAGTGTTACTCACTCATTTGGCAGTGGTCAGACTGCTATGCCTGTTAAGCTGAAGATCATATCTTTTGCATTGCAATATCAGCCTCACTGGCCTGGGTGGCTTCTACCAACGGTCCGAAACATTTCAGATGTGGTTCATACCATTGACCACTGGATGGCGATATAGTGCCGCTAGCTGGTTTCGAGACTAATAAGATTAAAATGTACCATTTATCATAAGAAGGACCTTTGTACAGTATAAGCTAGAAAAAATGAAAGAAAAACACGAAATCTTAAAGGTTCTGAGTAAACTCGCTTTAGCGAGTCATTAAATATATCTTTATTACATATTTGCATTAAGCGACGGTGACCGTACCCGGATATCCTTGTTGAAAGATCCGCGTTCATCACGGGAAATGGAGTTTTCCATTTTGGCATTCTCCTTTTCTTCTTACGTAATTTTACTTGCGGTTAGCTTTAGATAACAGCCCTTGGTACGTATTTAGCGTACGACTTGATCGCTGTTTGCTCCTTAGAATTCCCCCCTCCTTCCTCTCCGAGCTGTTTGAGGTAAACCGACGCGGTCGCATCAGTATCGATAATACACGACGGAGTGGAAATAAGCGCACATACGCGTGTTTGACACAGATATGTTAGGTATGAGCCGACGACAGAGAGCTGGGAGCTGACTAACGACCGGGAAGCTCAGCGAGAGAAGAACAAAACCGGGGGAGAACTTACCGTTTCCATGGCTGTGAAAAGTTAACGTACAGACGACTGAAAACGGGAATAATTCCTCTTCAGCCGAAACGAGGTAAGAACAACCGGTGCCTGAGAGTACTTCACCAAGTGGGGTAATGTCAGGGAGGGTCGGTAATGTCGGCCAAATTTGAGAATAAGAGTGTCTTTGTGTGTAAGGTTCCCCCCGGCAGTAGCAGCAGGCGGCTGTGTCCTCGTCTCAATGGGATTGTTCAGAGTTTTCGTCTGGCTGCTTTAGTGACAGAGCTGGCAGGCTTACACTTTGGACACAAATAGATTGATTATGTGAGAGAGCCTCGTGTATTTAACAGTCGGAGTTTATTCACCTCACCTCACAAGGAGAGACATTAAGTCCCCATAACAGCCCTGACATTTGTTCTTTAACCCTGCCTGCTTGGGGCAGCAGGGTTAGGGGAGGGAGATAAGGCAGGAACCAGACATACTGCAGCCTGGGGTACACATTAACTTGCTCGTGGGCACTCCAGCTGGTTGGACAATATTACGAATGTGTGTGTGTGTGTCTTGAGGCCTGGAGTGTGGCAACAGTCTGAAGTTTTGTCGTTAGAGTGTCAATAAAAGGTGTTTTGTTTTTATACCTGGAATGACCACGAAGGGTTAATTATTCCTGCTGTGCTTTGTTCACTGGTGGGGGGTAAATATAGTGTCAGCCCGAACATGCTGGGTTGTGTAGAAATGACAGTTTACAATGTACTGTGAAAATCAGCTCACATCCCACCTCCTTTCCCCTTCTTTTCCCAGTGGGTCCCTGGAGATTAGAAATGAAACCTAATCTCTCTCACCCTTGTCTCTGTCTCTAGCTCTCTGGCACTAACTGTGTCAGCTGTTGGTGCTGACTCGCAGTGGAACAGGTGGTGCTTGGACAGGTGCACCCATAACAAAGGGTTGCAGTCCCTTGACTCCTTCCTCTCTTACCCCTTCTCTCTCTCTCTCTCTCTTTTGCCAGATCTGCACTCTTTAGTAACCCATCTATCTATTACAGTACTACAGTGATGATGATTTCTCCTGTCTCAGTCAGTGTGACTCAGTGAGCTTAAGTGAAACCACTCCAGTGTCGTTGTGTAAGCAGCGTTTCATTTTTGGAAATGGAATTGTATTACTAATACAGTAAGCTCCCTGTTTACGTCTTTCTGCGAAAAGCAGTTGGTCTTGAGCAACACCCTCTGGTGTCTAGCTTGGACTTGAGTCTACATCAGCAGCTGCATTACATACTGTAGGCTTGCTTGTTCACTGGAATTGTAATTGGAACATTTCCAGACAAACCAGTTTATGTTTTTACACATTCCACTGAGGAGTCATGAAGATTACACCCTTGCAGTTACAAAAAGCTGAGGTCCAGACAGATGACTGGCCATGCAGTCGGTCTCTCCATGATCTGTAGCTCAGGTAGACTTAACTTTATTAAAGAAGAAAATGGAGAAAAAGCAACAAAAAAAAAAAGGTGTGGTTTGAGCCTGTTAATGTTCTGGCCGCTCCAGTGTTCTCATGTGTGTATTTTGCTGGCAAACACTGAATTCAAAGATAGAGGATCAGGAATGAGGGCAGCAAAGTTACATGAAGTGGAAGAGAGCAGTGGGGGAAGTTTGAAGGCTTATCTCAGTAATGTGCAGGGACAGTTGAGCAGTGATGAGTGTTGCAGTCACCGCTGTCTTCTGCTTTAACCCTTCAGTGCTCTGCCTGCCAGTGACCAAAGGAGAAATCTGTCTCCGGAAACCAACAGAAAAACACAGAACATTTAGACTAGACAGCTGTAACAGTGTGTATTGTTCTTATTCTCCTGCTCTCCTAGGGCTGGCATGCCCCATCTTGCCCCTGTGCTGCCGTACACACTCATTACTAACGCCGCTCCTATTCACGATAATGAGCGAGACCTCTAAAGCTTGGACTCTACTGGGGTTTATTTAAATCTCTTGAACGCAGCCTTCCAGCTTTGCTCTGCTCGCCAGGGCCAGTGCGCCTGCGCTCTACCGACACTCCAGTAATCCGCTGGAGGAGATTGCATCCTCGTCCACTGCGCTCAGGCTATCAGTGAGGGAGACTTAAAAGATGGAAAAATACATAACGGGAGCATGGGAGGCTGGGAACGCGTAGCGGGACCCAGATGTAGAAGCATTATGGGGAGAAGCGGCTTTTACACTGCGAACAAGCTCACATCCAAGGCGATAACGGGACCGGGGCGAGGATGTCTCCTGATGTAAGGCAGCGAGGCTCAGCGATTAACATCCCAAACGCTGGAAATATGAGATGAGCGCACGCAGGAGTGGAGCCGGCGGAAGATGGTGAAATTTGCGACCGAGTGCTCCTTCTTCTTCTTTCTCCTGCCTGGACGAACGAAACATCCTCGGGTATTCACGCTTCTCCCAAAGCCTGCGGATCGCTTCCTGCTTCATGCACATTACTCTCCATGGCCCTGTGTACCGCTGTGGAAACTGATCACATTTTTTCTTTCTTCTTCAAATGAGTAACGCTTTGCAGTTATGCTAACAGGACTTAGTTGAAAGCTCACATACGCGTGCGTTTTTAGTGTGACGTTCACCGAACCCGTAAAGCGAAACTACGGATCCGATCCCATGCGAGCGACCCGTGGGCACAGCGATCAGCTAATACTTCATGCCTATCAAAGCTCAAGCAGACCAGGGAGCACCGGGGTGTTTACAAACTGTCGATACTCCTAAAATCACCCGTGCAAATGTAGTTTGTCCCTGACGCCGTGGCTGTGGGGATACTCGTTTCCCTGTGTCGCTTCGCATGCATAGACCTGCTATGACAAACTGGCAACCCCGCATAAATCCGAGCGCAAGATGATGAACTGAAGTGGCCTGCCTAGGCTGTGGGATCAGACAGAAATTAAGCTGTGTCTCTCAGACAGAAGAATCTAGGATCATCTCCAGTCCTTGTGCTGGCACAGCACCGCAGCATGACATGGAGCATTGCTCTCGGGTGTTTACTTGGATATTGCTCAAAAGTTGAAACTGAGTTGTAAACATGTTCGTGCTGTGACAGCTGTTGAGGTAAACACGCCCATGGCCTGTGTTGCCTTGAGATTTAATTCCCGTGAAGTGCAGGGATTCTGCACATTTCCGAATTGATCTGTGTGAAATTGCCCTTCCTCACGCTTTCAAACATGTTTTCTTCTGTGAGAGAAATGCAGCTGGGCTGTTTTACTGGTAAACCTCCACAGCAGCTGTTAGTCAGACTGAATGTCTGAAAGGGGACACTTGGCTATTTGCATACTTGTAGTGTTGCCAACACTGCTCCCACGAAATGCGATGCATTGATTTCCTTCTTGCAAATAACTTTTGTGTGACTCTTTTTCCCCCCTGCCCCTTCTACAACATTATCAGTGCCACTACTAATCTGCAACATTATCAACTTCATGGACAGTGGTGTCATTTTGGTGTCCTTTTGCGAGTTTATCTTAAACGTAACACTTTTTGGAGGTGTCTGGTTTTGTTGCTGCAAAGTTTTAAGACAGTGAACACTTTTACGTGCACACGTTTTCCTTTTCCTTTTTTTTGAGACATTTTTCCAAGCATGTGTGAAAGGAAGAGGAAGCAGCACAAGACTTTTGCTGCACAGGCTGGGGAGATGTGTGAGAATGAACACGCAAGGAATTATGAGTGGCACTATGGAAGACTTGGTGCAGAGTGTTACAAGCTTAAAGTCTACAAAAGGGAGAATTACAAGGCTTTGCTGTGAGAAAATTGTATTTTCTCCTCTGTGACGCCAGCTGTTCCATTGGAATCGCTGCTTCTTGCCTCAATTTACTGTTTGAATTGAGAACTTCCCCCCTGTTGTGGATACTTGGCCACCTGCAAGTTAAACTCATTTGAGTACCCTTCTTCTTCTTTTTTTTATTTGCCATCCTGTTGCTGTTTTTTTCTTTTCTTTTCTTTTTTTGTTATAAATACTTTCTTTCCCAGAGGGATCCATGGTGTTATTTGAAGGAGGAAATTCTTCATATTTGTAGCTGAAAATTGCCAACGGGAAGCAAAGACCACATGATAAGGGTTGTTTGTGTTCTTCAGACAAACCCATTTCTCTTCTGAAGGCTTTCTGCGTGCCCAACTGGGTGCAACAGTGGATCCCTTGTCATATTTGGTGCTTTAGGGAAATACAAAGAAAGAAAACCCCCAAAACAAAAAAAACAACATTTAGAAACTAACTTCTTATCTCCGTGGTGATGGGGAGTTCAGCCTCGTCTCTCACTGCAGAGACTGAGTCGGACCATGGCTTTCGAAGTACCCCTTACCCTTCGTCACCCCCTGTGGGCTGGCTCAGGAACAGCCACAGCAGCCCTGTGTGGGGTACCACCTTCATCACACGGCAGCAGCAGCAGCCGTTGCCTCATCGAGAGCGCAGGTAAGGGGCAGCGCTGTCTAACCAATCAAGCACTTCTCTCACATTGAGCACACTCGGGTCGGGTCGGGGGCAGTTAATGGCAGCCTTAAAGAGGTATTTAATTTTTGCGATTGAGTGATGCTGCTCATTTGCGTTGTTGGCTTAAGAAATGTGCTGCGCTCTCTTTTATAGTCTTACAGAAACGCTTACTGAGGATTCACTAACCCCTCAGCTATGGATCAAATCCACTGTCTCATCAAAGCTTATTTAATCAAAGCCTGCATTTTGATGTTTTTCTATGATGCACCCAAAATCTGACTAAGCCGGATTTGTCAAACAAAATCCCACCTCCTCCTAGCTTGGCTGTACAGTATGTGCTGCAAATGAGGCAGGGCAGAGGGGACTTGAATGGGCAGATGGAATGACCTGGGCTCAGTGAAACCAATGAAACCCTGCCAAAGGATATATTAATTAAAATATGAATTTAGTGTGATCATGGATATCTATTTGTTTACCCACAAAATAACCCTTTCTGTGTTTTAGAGGCTCCTCAGTTTGCCCGTCAAACATAGCTGTGAGTTTTCAGAGTAAAACACAGATTTTTCAGAGTTTTGGGTTGAGAAAGGTTTATGTGTTGCTGAACAAACTCCTTTGTGGAAGAGACAACGCTATTCCTTTTTGTATGAATAAGATAGATTCACTCAGTGCATCTGCAAGAAAGGCTGCATTAATCCATTGTTCTGGTGTGTGCCTTCTGAATCTCTGATTCGCTGTCAGAACAGCGGCACACAGGAGTTTGTGAGAAGCTTTGAATGTGCCGCACATCTGGCAGTTTTGACTGACTTTCTTCCAAAGCCTGATCTTCCCAACCGCCCTCACAGAAACCTATTTAGAAGTGTTTCCAGTTTTCCTCCTGCATTTTCTTTCCCTTTTTTTTCAATTTTTTTTTTTTTTTAGGTCATGTCTCCCGGAACAAGAACAGGCAGTTGATATCGACCGTCTGCAGTGTATTGAAGTTGTTGCTGAGTCACTCAGGGCATCATGGTCTGGTTGTTAGTTATTGATTTTCAGAGAGGCCGATCACATTTCCCCACAATGGATGTCATTATTTATTCAGCATCAGTCTCCAGTTGGGCTTTCATCTTTCTTGATTCCTGCCCACTGCTGTCGATGCTTTCCTTGCAGTTGCTCCACGTTTAACAGTTAAGTCTGTCAAGGCTTCCTTGTCTTATTGTTTCAAGGTTTTCTTGTTTTTTTTTTTTGTTTCTTTTTTTTTGTTGTTTTGTTTTATTTAACCATGAAACAGAAGTCTGGAGATGTAGACTCTCTTTTGTGAGTGTTGTAGGCCAAGATAAGGAACCAGGCGTGTTTTTCAATGCCCAGGCTCGAGCATGGCTCCGTTAAATATTGCTGAATTCATGATTAAAACTTAAATCTGGCTCGTACTGTCAGTGTAGTTTGACATCATACAGTTTATTTGCTTTTCATTCAGCAGAATCTTTTGTTTGTGCATCTCTGTAGCAACAAGACTGTGCCTTCAGCACCAATCAGACTACACTCTCAGTCAGTCGAGTGCATGCAGTCCGTTTCTGTCTGCTGCTGGAAGGCATGGAGGGACACACACACACACACACACACACACACACACAAACACACACACGCAGACAATAGATGTTTTAGAAAGACATTGCCGTACCACTTGAACGTGCTCTCTCATCTACCCCACTCACCCTCTCTCTCATGTTCACTCAGTCTTTTGTCCATGTACACACCACTGTGTGAGCCTAACAACGTTAGGCAAGCTTTGCTGAGCTGTGACAGAGCATGAAATATAGAAACAACAGTACACCATGAGCCCAGCTAAACTTCAGCAATTCTCTTACGCTTTATTCTCTAATATATTGTCCTATAAACCATCTTCTTTCCCTCCTTTTTCTTTCTTTTTTCCCTCTACCTTGGAGACTGCATGAACAGACTTGTCCTTGAGTAATTTCAGTTTGTTTGCGTCCAGCAGTAAACCCCATTGACTTTGGGAAGTGTTTTTGTGTGCCTTGATTCAGCACCTCAGCTGTGAAGGTTCACTCATGATAACAGCCCACTTACAGAGATGTGCAACTTAAGTGCACTTGTGCACACTCCCAAAATGGGACATTTAATAGCATTGCTGGCTTCATTAATCCTTTAAAGCAGTGGCGTTCTGTCGTTCAGACGTTAATGTGGCTCACAGCTCAAATTCATTCAGGGTGACAGAACTAGCCACAGTAGCCACATGATGTTATAGATCTGATGGCGCGTCAAGTGACACTTACTGCATTAGGTACACATGCATCTTAACATGGCAGCTGTAAATTGGTAGCTAATTTGATAATTGAAGAGGGTATAGGAAACAGATCTATTGATAGTCCTTGGGACTAATATACTAATAGTTAAATGTGAGGAAAAAAATGTCAGACTAAGTAACTTGGATGAAAGTAAGAAAACAAGCCAGAAGACAGAAAAATTTTAGCACACTTTTAGCAATGTGGTTAAGTGTTGTCTCTGCATTTGGATTTAGAGTCTCTTAATCACATTCTTCGATAATCAGATTGTGTTTTTAAATGCGGCTTGAATGTGAAATGTGGCGTTCAGCCCAGTGCATGAAATTGTACACTGATCAGTCTGCTGAGTGTGTCTAACATTAGCTGTGCCAGCACCCGCAGCCTTCTTTCCATGCAGGTTGATATCCATGCACCTCTGCAGAATAAGCTCACCTGTCTGACGTGAAATACACAAAATCACTCTAAGGGCTGTCTACACGGGAGGACAAGAGAAGTTAAACTCTTCTCAAACTTGAGGCTACTCATTGAAGCAGCTACCAATGAGAGGGAAGGAAACTATTGACTGACACACGATTGGGTTGTAAATATGTTTGCACACATTCTTACCCAGGCACCACAGTCTGAAGCATCCACCAGCAACCAACCATCAACAAGGGAATTTATGTGTACGTGACTTTAGATCCCAATCTATGAGGTTATGACTGTTGTCCAGTGTGTAACTGTGTACAACTCTCTTCCTTCTAAGCGCACATGGAAGGATTCTAATGCTTTCTGATGCTGGAGGTATTAAAAAAAGGAAAAAAAGAAAATAGGCTTTTGTAAACAGCTGGAATTAACATATTTTTTGGCAAACTGGACATTGTCGTCTTTACTCTGGTCTGTAACAGACTCGTTACTGCAGTAAAAATGCTTGAGTAAGCTAGTATTTTCACATCTGTAATGGATCTGAGATCGCAGAGTAAAGTAAATGAAGGAAAAACTGAACATATATGAGAAGAGTTTAATGACTTTTGGAGAGGGGTTATGTGTGTGCCTCCGGCAGCTTAATGGGGCACAAACTGTGTCTTTTGTGCTCTCTGTGCTGTTTATGTACAAGTGTGGTGCCAAACTTAAGAAGAAAAAGATTTTTGGGTAAAGCGTCAGCTTTGAGACTTCCTCTTATTTGTTGCGAGAGATTCATGTGGCAGTGTGAAACAGACTGAGAGAAGGTGTCTCACGCCAAAAGTGTGAAAGTTTACATGCCCGTGTTTCAGTTTATTTATTTATTTTTTTAATTTCTTATGTTGTTACTTTTCAGGTAATTCTCCAAAGTGATTTAGTGAGGCAGCAAACTCACAAATATACAGGAGAGAAATGCACACTCTGTTAATGTGACTGCTTGTCTTCAGATAAGATAAATGTTATAAAGGAAGCCAGCGTTATGCAACTTTGGAATCTCAGTCATGACGCTATTGTAATTACGGCAGCGCAGTTAAGTTTTATCACAGTGCTTAATGTGTGAAGTCACAAATCTGACTGCTTCATTGCATTTCAGCCACATACTCCTAGCATCCTACGTCGCACGTCGCATTACGGGGGCTCTAAGGTCGGTGTCTGCTCTCTGCAGAGTTGCTCCCAGTCTCTGCTGTCCCAGCATGATGGATGACAGCGTTTATTGCGACCGCGTTCCACTGGCTGTGCTCTCTTTAATTGGATTAAAACAGGTCCACTTGGGCTCAACAAGCATGGTCGCTGGCCGCGTTTATGTCTGAATTACTTCAGCCTGTTCTCTCCCTTGCCGTTGCCTCATCTGATGGAGACAGGGCCGCGTCAGGACAGTCCCCAACCAGAATAGACTTGGCATGAAAGCGTTGTCTCACAGCGTGGCTTTCTGTGGAAAACAGTGCAGTGATGCAGCAGGGGAAAAGAAGGAGGAAAAAAACAAAAACGCCCGTTGGCTCTGCAAATGACATGATTCCAGATTTCCCCACTCTTGTTGCCATGGAAATGTGTAGCATATGTTCAGTAACCTAATTCCACTGGGCCCAAGATAAGACGGCACATAATAACCTGTCTGTCTCGCACAGAACGAAAACTCTGCTGCTGCTGAATTACACCTATGGAGAAAGGGTATAATTCACGTTAATGTTAATGGTTTCACGTAGAAACTAGTGCTTTCCCGTGGCAGGTGGTTTTTGCTGGTCTGCCTTCCCGGGTTAGATTTGTGTCGCAGTAACAGGGGTGGAACTGTTTTAGAAGTTGCCCCCGGGCTCAAGGCACAGCTGCGTCAGCAGTGTCCTCGGCCCCTTCAGATTTGGGTGCCCCCAGGAACTTCAGATTAGCTCTGTGCCCCTGCCATCTCTTTCCCTTCTTCCTCTCTGATTCCGGAGCTTCCTGCTAGCTTCCTGCTTGCGCTCGCTTTGCTCCGTTACTGATGTCTGTTGAAACCCAGTCAGACAGTTTCCTCTGTTTAAAGATTCAAATGTCTGAAGCTGTCTCCACCGCTGACAGATTCACCCATCAAAAAACGAGCGCTGGTCGTGAAATATTCACCGAGGGCACAGCGAGAGGTCAGAAGCCGCTGTTATTGTTTCATTCCTTTTCTCCATTTTTTCCTTTCTCACTGGTATCTGCAGAAGTGATTGGTAGTTCTTAAATCAGTGTGATAATACATATATGGTTCGAGTCCTTCATCATAAGTAGTGTGAACTAAAAAGTGAGAATACAAATGTTGAAACTGATCAGAAATTCACACACTGATTTACTCTGTTAACATTTACACAATATAACCTTTGCTTCTAAAGCTTCCAATAATATTTAGGTTTCATAACAAGGGAATATGTGTTTAATTTTTAAAGTTGCTCTCAGTGTATAGTTTCTCCCGTACTTTCTGGCTGCCTAAGGGCAATTTCTCAAAAGAGCTCGTCTGGTATGAGTCTTTGTACCACTGTCAACATCTTAAAATTGCCCATCTTAATGTTCTATCTCAAGAAGTCTTGGAAAGACTTAATGAAAACTTTCTGAATTATATTTCTATTGTCCCGTGTGATTAAGGCTTTGCTGTCCCCAATCCTTTGTATCACGTATCACCAAGTTTCTGTTTAACTGCTGGTGCTCTAGATTACTGCAAACAAGTATCACTTAATGGCTTATCTCTGCAAAAAACCCCATAAGGGTTGATGTGAGTGAGTCATATTCAAACCACAGAATTACCTGTCATGTAGAAAAAAAACAGGTTCCTGTTAATCGGTGACCCTGACTCATCAGTTTCTTCAAAAAACAGAAAGAACTTCCACGTAACAGAAATGTATCTTCATTTTTTTTTAAGGAGGAACACGTACTCTGGTCTTGTAAGTGAGAGAAATACTTTGATAAAGTCAAAGAGTTCCTGTCTGTGAGACTGTTACATGCAGGCTGCATTCATTACTGATGGGGGTTAAAATAAATTCTCGGTTTTCTCGAGTGTGGCAGAGATGGTGTAAAAGTGCTGATCTAATCCCCGTCACAGCACACAGGGTGTGTTCAGAAGCAGCAGAATGTTTCAGCTTTCATTATCCATTTTTACAGCTCGTCTGATCCAAGGACATATTGGTGTCTGATAGGTCTCTCTTTTTTTCTCTCCAATAAAAAGCTCCCTGCTGTCGAAGAGAGTTGCCACTCCTACTGCCTGCCAGTACTGTTTGCATGTAAGAGGTAAAAAAAAATGTATATAAAAAGTACAAATAGGAATGCCAGGGCTCTGAAACCCTGCTGACAGTTATGAAAATCGCCCCCCATTTTCTCTTCTACTTTAAAAACATCTATCAGTTCATCTTCAAGTGCACAGCAACCAAGACTTTTTTTTTATAACATTATATAAGCTTTAAGTTTCTATATTTCCACTTCTCTCCCTGCGCTCACTCAAAAAAACAACAACATCTGAATATTTACCACCAGAGAAGCCTCACTTTGAGCGTGTTTGTGTGGGAGCTACATCTGGAGCCTGTCTTGCAGTTCAAAACAGTCACGCTCTCCTGAGACATCCAGGCTTACATGGCCTATTAAAGTCATTCCTGATAAACTTGCGTTGTAATAAAACTGGTTTCCAAGAAAGTAAAACAACTGTGGAGATTGTTTACATTCGACCGGCCTTATCATAGGAGTTTAATCCTGTGGGAAAATAAGCTTTGGCAATTTAAAAAAGTATAAGACACCGAACTGCACCTGGGTGTATTGCAAAAGTAACACTTAGAAAATGGTGTAGCCTTAATTATTTGCATTATTGATCATTTATTAGGTTTAACAGACCTCATGTTAGTGCAAGGAAGCCCTGATATTGAACTATCGATGGAGACATTTATATTGAGTTATTGATTGATGCTTTTACTTTGAATTACACTGTAAAATGAGAGAAATTGACTTTAACCCCGTAAAGCCTGAACCATGAAAAAATGACCAGAAAATTCAAGTTTGTTGTTTTTGCTTTCTTTTTTATAAATTGAGTATTTAAAAAATAATTATAAAAAGAAATTAAATTATAATTTTTATATAGGTTTTAGTTTGTATCATATTTTACATCCAGTATTTTTTTGGCAATTTATTATCCAAACAATTATAGTGCAATTACTTTGGGTTTTTGGAGGGAATAAAAATCAAACATGATGTAGTTTTTGAGACTTCCATCAGAAACGACACACTTTTGTGTTACAGGGTTTAAAGTATTGTGACATAGTATACAAAAAACAGTCCAGAATGTCCCAAAAGGTTGATTCTGTTCATCTGGAGATAGTGTTTTCAGCGGTGAGCTCCTCACTGCCCCATTGTTCATTCAGTGGGCTAGTTTCAGTCATTGTGCAAATGTATTGTTTATAGGGTTAGGAAAACCTGCAGTCAGCTGAGACTGAAGAAGTCACTTGGATGAATTGTTTCTCCCACTGAAAACACTTTGTCCAAATGAACAGAATCAACCTTTTGGGATTTACTTACCTGGATGATTAAGCATGAATTATTGTGGTTTAATAACAATGCAAATAGTCAGTTGCAGCACATTCTTAAAGTATGAAATTAAAAACTCAACTACGTTTACTAGAAACTGTGGATGGACACACCCATGTTGCCCTGGGCTGTAGCTGGAAGAGTTTCCAACAGCACTGAAGGAGCAGGTTTCACTGACTGACTGGCCAAGTCGCACCTTCTACTACTGTGTGGCTCACTGAGCCGGGGTTTTCCCATCATAGCCTTGGAGGTTTGGTGGATGATTACTTGGGGCAAAAGGGTGTGTGTTTTATGTGCAGCGCAGGCATCAAAAGCTGAAACTGAAAGTTTTTTTTGTTGTTTTTAAACATATTTGTGAGTAATGGCACACAGTAAATTACAATAACAAACACGAAGTATTTGGAAAGTCTGGTTGTTCTTCATTCCATCATTGCTTGGATGTTTTTGTGTTTTGTTTTTGTCGGGATTCTCGGCCTACGTCTTCAGCCAGCTTTTCACCACAGGAAGTCAAGTCTGAAAAGAGGTCAGTTACACTAACATGTTTAGTGCAGTGATCTAACAGGATGGATCACAGTAACTTAAAAAATAATGCAGACTTCTTGTGGCCCTTAATACACTATAAATGCCTTTTTACTAAAGCACACTGTTAAACAACACTTTTTTGCAAGTTTGAAAAATCAGTACTTTGAGGATCCTGACTGAAATATCAGATTTTCAAAACCGATTCTGATATTTTAAAATATCCGAATTTCAATCCCAGAAACAAATAGATTTCCCCAACATTTGTCATGTCAAGTTATTTATTTACTTGTTTAGCCTCAGACCCTACTCAGCTGGCATGTTGCCAACTGTGAAGTTGCAGAGTGCCCCCTGCTGAATAATCTATGCATTGTCAACACTCATAATATTGTTGAAGGGTGTTTTTGACCGTTTATAAATGCCAATACCAGTGGATCAGCAAATGGCTAATATCCTCACTGATATGGGTCATGCGGTGCTACTTTGCATGCACAGAGCTAGAGCTGTCACTACAAAGTTAGTCTTCCCAGGAATACTATATTCCAGAGTAAACAAATTATGCAAACACTCTCACACTGTGCTGCTTTTGGTTCTAATTTCCAGTCAAAAAAAATATTATTTTCAATTTTTTTATTTTTTGTAGTAGTGCACACTAGTCTGTTATTAGACACTTGTGTTGCATTGCTCTTCCTCATATACTGCACAGTTACAGGAACAGGTTATGATGACCTGTTAATATCTAAACTCCTTCTGTCCATGGTCACACACGTCCTGGAAATCACATCCTTAAGAGTCAGAGTCCAGAGTTTACATACCTGGAAAAAGTGATAACGAATCTGCTAAGTTTGAAGTTGAGCACAGTTGATCAAAGTTAGAGACCAGCAATTCCTACTTGGACACATCAAGTAGAAAAAGCACAAGTAGAAATTCACTGATTACAAGCAAAATTTCAAAAACGAGTCCTAATGATGTTAAATGCTCTGATTTAAGTAAATGAGTAATTAAGTGCCGAAAATTAAAGCGATTGTATGAAAATGTTCAATTACGCAGCTGCTTTGTGCTACCTGAATTTAAATGTGAGACACTAAATTTGCAAGATTTTTCTCACACTGTTTCTCTGCTGTCTTGCATGCTGTGTAAGAGCAGCAGCTACATTTACAATTCTTCCCGTCAGACAGGCGCGTACTGGCAGGCTCGACCCAGCAGTGTATGCATTTGGATACATTATTAAATAGGAGCACCCCACAGCGGAGCAAGTTTGCTTCACCTCATTCAGAAACTGAGCTCAGCTTAGATAGATTTGATAGAAAAATTCCTTCACTTTAACAAAATCAAATTGGCTCGCAGGCAGCCAACTCTATTTGATATTCACTGGATCAGTGTTTCACTACAAGCCGCACACAAATGTACCGACACCAACCTACAGCTGGAGTCTGCGTTTAGTCTGCCAAGTATGTTTTCATACCAGAGAGCTGACTCGGTATGTTCCTCTCAGATATATGTCCCAAGTGCATGCACATGATAAGAAACGTATCAGCTGGCACTCAGGCAGGCAGCAAGAATTTTGAGTAAACATTATGTTGAGGTCATGGGATTCTGTATAGTTGCTGCGTTGTTAGTTAATGTTTGTTGTCAAGGCTTTGAGGAAATGTGTGTTTTGCAAAAAAATTTCAAGCTCAGCTAGACAAACTGTCATAGAGCCTGAGTGACACTTGCGCTACGGTAACTGACAGGCCATCTGTCATTTAATATCTCTGAAGTGCTGACTGACTCGCTTTATATTTCTCCTCGTCCTGTGTCAGACTTCATTTATTAGACAGCAGGTTAAATGCTTGAATTGTGGGAAGCTGACATTTTTGGCACGTTTTTAAATAAGAATAAAAATTACAATGCCTGCACTGTACAGAAGATCTGACACTGTACTATAAGACAAATACGATGAGTACTACAAATGCAACAATTAAAATGTTAAAGTGGTCAGTCATTAAAGAACTAGGCTATCAACAGCAGCCACCGTTTCTGTGCTGATAACATCCATTTTTTTGTGGCCATGCTTATGTTTGTGTTGAATGAGTAAATCAGGAGCACTGCGCCTCTAATGGCCAGTGCGATTCCACACCTTCCCCTCAGGCCCTGGGCTCAGGGCCAACCTTGGAAAGGCAGTGCTAATGACTGTCGCACAAAGGCCAAATGTCTCACAGCGAGGCAGGGAGAGACTGGCAAGATTCTCCTCGTTTGATCTCTCATTAGAGTTCAGTATGTATAATGAATCCAAGTAGCCAGAGCCATAGGTGGCCTTAGACACAGTTATCTGTGATTTTGTAGCATTTCTTAAAGCCTTTCTGACATCTCTTGTATCCAGGGTGCTGTAGATACTGATCATCTTGACTATGTTTGCTGTTTGTAGGTACTCTTATCTAAACCCTGAAGACTTCCTTGTAGACACCTGAGTTGTGGAAGTTAATTTACTCTTTTTATGCAATATTACAGACTTGCTCATTTTTCACTAAGACATTTTAGACTCTTTATAACAGTCTGCTGAAACTGTGATTGTCTGACACCCAGTGAAGCGTTGAGAAATCACCGCAGGGTCATAGATGTTTTTACTTAAGTGAAATTCCAGTTTCAGAGAAACTACTTTATGGGCAGCAGGCTTCATTGAGGACCTCATTGCAAAAAGATAGGCTTGCTAGAGGTGAGGGTGCTCTTCTATTCTCTTCCTCTTCAGTGTAAGCTACTGGCTGACTGCCCAGGTCTGCGACACAGAGGAGCTGAAGTGGGCACTTTTAGAGCAGCTCCAGTGAGCACAGGGCCAAGGACAAAAGGTGTGTGCATGTGTCTGTGTGTATGTGTGTGTGTGCTGCACACTTTTGTTAGCGACTGGAACATGTACATTAAAAACATCCTTTTAAGTATGGTCCAGGAATCACAGGCTATAGCACTTCATCCTCTGCTGCAGGCATGTATTGTACATATAGTCCTGTGCAAGTCTTGACCCACCCCTCAATTCTTTATATAGTTTGTTTCCAAGCAGCCAGACTTTATTTAAAGTTTAAAAAAAAATGGGTTAAGCCGTAGTTCTCCAGGCCTGTGAATCATTCTTCCTCTTACATTGCAGAGTTACAGGAATCCTGGTTTCATTTATGTTTGAACAGCTCTGAACATGACCTCTGATCGAAAGTCCTCAAATGCTACAGGAGTACTTTTTATAGGTTCCTGTTAATATCGAAACTCTTAATGTCTCTTGTCACCTGTACAAAAAAGCCAAAGAGAACACAAATTGATAGGCATGAAAAAAAAAAAATAGAAATATATATCTATGTACAGTGAGAAAAGGGTGAGTATGCCACGTTACACAAGAATTGGACTGAAAATCGGTGGCATCGGGCGTTATGGAGTAATTGATTATTTCAGATTTGAAAATTTGGCTTAAATTATTGTCAGTTTGTACAAATGGTGAGTGTCTCCACTTATTTGTACAACATGGTGGAGGCTCTGTCATGGTTTGGGGCTGCATTTGGGGATCCCGTCAAAACTGATTCAATTATGAACACACTGAAGGACTATCAGATTTTGAACAACAATACAATACCATCGGGAAAAGTATCTCAATTGGCAACAGCTTGACCATGATCCCAAACAAACTACCAGTACAATAACATCATACCTGGATAGAAAAACACATGAGTCATGGATCGGCCTCCCCAGAGCCCAGACTTCAGCATTATTGAAGCAGTGTGGGATAATCTGGACAGAGAACAGAACAAAAGGCAGAAACATCCAACGAAGAGCTTTGATTGTCCTTCAAGAAGTCTGGAGAACTATTCCTGAAGACTACTAAAAAAAACAAAAGCTTGACTAAGAAAGTTCCGACTTGGTTGAAGAATAAAGGTGCTTCTTAGAATTGTACAATTTGACTTATCTATTGTATTTCCATGTGTGTTTGAACATGCATGAAGTGAAGGGTGGCTCAAAGTACTGTACTGGGTGTGCACATAGTACAGTCAAAATGCACTGAGAACCCCAATTGAGAGGTTATAGTTGTTCATCACACTGTACTGGGTGAGAGGTAAATACCGCTGCTTATAACGAGTATCAATAAGATAATTTAAAAAAAAATCCTTGAGGCTGATCACTTTAATAAAAAGCTTTCATGGTGTCAGCTAAAGATGGAAATATAATGAATCTGTGATCCCTGTGCTGCAGTGAGAACCACATCAATTGCTTTAACAAATTCTCCACGTGGCTGACACTGCAACTTTGCTCTCTTGCTGTAGATGAAAGAGGCCTGACAGTTATAAATGTCCACAGGGTAGAATCTGTCATCAGACATGAGGTGTTGACACTTGTTGTCGTCATTGATGTTTGCGGCACTCAGATACGCAGACCTTAAGAGAGCCAAACATGATGTAAACATGTGCCATCCCAGCTGGCACAGTGCTGCCACTTAATTCAACTACTTTTAGCATAGCTGCTGAAGGTGCGGAGACAGGGCTGTAGTCTCAGGACACACCACAGACCTTTCTTTTCTTTTTCTTTTTTTTGTGGTTAGATGAACAATGTCAGCTATGTCCTTGATATTATTACTCAATGAACATTACTTCATTGGCACCCCTTTTTTGTTAGTGGCTAGAAGGGCACTTAATATTGCAGAGCAACCATGAAGACATTGCAGATAAATGCAGTGATAAAAGTGTTTGTGTGCTTTTAAAGAAAAAGTGTGTTCTATGTTTTGTTTATCATTAGAAGGCTGAGTTTACTCCTTACAGTGTGGACTTCAGGGGTGCTAAAGGCTACTATTTGCTTCTGCTTCTATAGTTTTGCTATCCTGAGAAAACACAAAAATGTAGGTGGACAATAAAACTAGCAGCAGTGCTGCATCTATAGATAAATATAGCTAGATGAAGCACACAACCAAGCAGCGAGGACCCACACACTCAAGAGACAACTAAAGTAACACGTTCACATTTCTTCCTGCTTGTCATTTCCCTCTTTACCTCTGGGAGAAGGGATGACAAGAGGAACAGACATTGCGCTGGGAGCAAGAGGTCGTCTGTAAGAGGTCCCCCTGGGATCTGGGGATTCGCTTGATTTGAAAGGTTTAATGAAGTTGAACTAAAGGCAGTTGGCTGGCCGTGACACATGGCACTTCAGGGGAGAGGAGCAGGACCCAGGCACTCCAAACTGCAGTGTCAGCAACAAGGAATTATCAGAATATGCTTTTATAGAAAAAGTTTGTTTTACATCGAGTCTCAGATCTCACTATAACCTCTGTATGCCCAGCTGTTTGTCTGTTTTTCACCTGCCTTGACAGTCATTTATCCAGTCCACTTTGTGAGTGCATTGGTGGGGACTTTAGCAATTGCACTACTGAGTTTAAGGTCATTGGCTCTCATGTTTTGGCTAAAGGTTGTCCTGTGTTACCATTGTTTCCAGTTCACTTACTGCTACCTGCTACACACTGTGTGTGTGGGTGTGGTGTTTGTTTGGCATCACAATTAAGTGCCAAACCCCTACTCTAACCTAGAGCTTGCAATCCTGTGACTGTAGAGCAGCTGTCTTCCTGGTTTGCTTGATATGCACCTGGAGTTCTCCCTTTTTTATTTGGGCTATTTTTAAAGCTAATAAAATGTCAGGGGTTTTAGATTACTTTTAATTGTGATTCATTTGCCCAATTAGAACCTGACCGATATTTTTAAGACCAATACCATTGGTCTATAAATTTAAAAAAAGCAACAAATGCATTATTGCAATGGGAATGCAGAGCTGAAGTACAGAAATGTCTGCTCTGATTGATTGTTTCAGGTCATGCCCTAAACAAAATCTTTTAACACAGCAGCATTAGATGGTGGCACATGTAGTTCTCCAACCAAATATCACACAGAAGATCAACAAGCTTCAGTCACTTTGAGGGCAACATGTTCTCTGCTGGGGTCAATGTGAAAAACACTGAAGTATCCTGGCTCTTGGCACCTTCCCCTCAGCTATCCTAAAATCCCCACATTACCTTCTCTGTTGGTGTTCACACATGAGCAGCCTGAGTGACACTGACATTTATGGGTTTGTCCAGATAGAAACCGTGTCCGTCCCTTGGGGCTGTCCCTCTTCAATCCGCCCCCACCCCAACCCTCTCTGCTGCACAGTTGAAAGTATCCGACTGTGCTGCCTTCCCTCCAAGGCCCTCTATCAATAAGTCAGATTGACTGAACTGCAGGCACTCAGAAAGGATTGTACACACGTCAATCCACAGTAACAGACTCCTTTTTAGGTTTTAGTTTGCGAGAGGTGGAAAGAAACCGAGGGGCCTGAATAGATGGATTTCTTTCTGTGCTGTTTTCTCTGTTTGAGTCCTCTTAAGATATGTGGATAGTTGCAAGCTTTAAATTTGCTGTAACTCCAGTGGCATGAATGACTTGCCATTTAAAATATGCCTGAGTCATAAGTGCTGCGAGAATTAATAGACCCATCCATTTGAAATTCATTTGGGCAAGGGATTGACGTGACCTTAAGTTGCTCCCATCTACCCTGCATTAACATTCACTGAGAGGGGAGAGAGGCGCTAATATGAAGTGGAAAAGATCCTCTGTGTGTGTGTTTGTGTGTGTGTGTTCTCTGTTTTGTTTTGTTTTTTTTCTTTTTTCCCCTCTTCCTCTCTCTCTCCTGTGTTATAGTGAGTGTCAGTTAAGGAAACTCAAGCAACACTGTCCTAGTATTCTGAGGCGATAGCAGCCTCCTCTCCTCTCTTCTCGCTCCTCTTCACTGTGCGCTGTCTCCCTGGCTCTAATCAGGTGGCCATTGTGTATGGATTTACTGCCCTCAGTGCCCCCAGGAGGGAGATTTGATTTTTTTTCTAACCCTTTCCCCCCCTGCACTGACTAATCTTTCCCTCTCGCACTGTATTTTTCTATTCTACTTCTTTCTGCCTCTCCTTGTCTTGCGTTTTCTGGGTTGTTTTTGCTGTTTGCTCTTTTCTTCCTTTACGTGATCACCCTGAATTTACCACAGGCATTTTAATGTCAATTCTCTGGCTTTTTCCATAAGAAAAATCTTGTCACGTTTCCTTCTCTCCTCTCTTGCTCTGCTGACACTTTAAGCTTCGCTTGACTGAAATAGCTTGCGCGTTTATGCAGCAATGTAGTTAATATGCATCTATTTTTGCCAAGCACTTACAGCTATATGGCAAAAGGTATTACTGACTGATTTGTTTGGTTCATTCTGTTCTGACTCATTGTTTTTTCTCCTTTTTTCCCCCAGCCACTCTCACTCTCCAGGCTCCATGGCAGCAGCGGTGCAAGGCAGTGAGTGGTCATGTGGGCGCTGTACTTTCTTAAATGCCGGTGCAGCACCTCGCTGTTCTATCTGTGAGGCGCCACGCCAGAAACCCGACCTCAACCAGATCCTGCGCCTCAGCAGCACTGAGGAACACCGCTGGACCTGTCCCCGCTGTACCCTCAATAACCCGCAGGGATCTGGGGCCTGCTCGGTCTGTGGCTTTGGTCCATCACCCGCCACTCACACACCTCCTACGACCACCATAGCTGCCACTGCCAATGGTCTCCCTTCTGCTCCCACTGAGCCCCCAACACCCACGATCACCCCCACAGTGCTACTTGAGCCCCATGGACAGCATCCAGCTAAGGAGGAAGTGTTTCGGCGGTCTGAGAGCAATGGAGAGGTGGGTGGTCAGGAGGGTCAGCAGGCGGGCTGGGCTTGTCCTCGGTGCACACTTCACAACACCCCTGTGGCGCTTTCATGCTCAGCCTGTGGTGGGCCTAGAAAACTGTCTCTGCCTAAAATCCCCCCAGAAGCGCTGGTAGTGCCTGAGGTGCGCACACCAGTAGTGGGCTTTCCTGTTCACACAGCCGCTTCGGTCCCGCTACTGATTGACCTAACAGATGACTCCCCCCCAGCCCCGCCCTGTGATCCTCAAGAAGCTCCCCATGCGTCTTCACAGGCCCTCGCCTCCACCTTTACTTCATTCTCCTCCCTCCAGAACAATCCTGTGCCTCGCAGCAGGCGAGAGGTACCGCCTCCGGGACGCCCACCGAACCCAGGAACCAACACTCCCAGCCCCACTTCCCCTTCAGCTGCCAGTGTGCCACCCCAACCTGGCCCACAGAGGCCAGCTAAACCCAAGCACGCCCAGCCCCAGGAACCTTCTTACCCCAGCAAGCGCCTCAGTATCTTGGAGGAAGAAGAGTCTCAGCACCACCCACTGACGCCCCACCTCCCTGTTGCTTCCACATCAGCCTCTACCTGGAAGTGCCCTAGCTGCTCCGTGGCCAACCAAGGCAGCTCAGCGAAGTGCGAGACCTGCAGATCGTCAAGGGGTGGTGCTGACCTCATCGACCTAGTAGGCTGTGAAACGGTACGATTTACCCCAGCAAGCCCCTCGAGCCCGGACTTTAGCACATGGGCCTGCTCTAAGTGCACCCTGCGCAACCCTACAGGTGCTCCCAAGTGCTCAGCTTGTGGTTCTTCAAAGCTGCATGGCTTCCAGGAGCAGCAGGTGCCTCTACCCCGCTGCTGTACACATTGTGGCCTCGCAGTGGGGCCTGGTACTGCATCTTGCTCCTGCACACCTTCCTCTTCTTCATCATCCTCAGGTCATAAAATACGTAAACAGGCCCGGGGCTTTCCTTCATCCTCTTCTGCCGTTGCCTCCTCTGGTTCTTCTTCGTCCTCCACCTCATCTAGCCTCCAGGAGAAAGTAGGACAGTGGAGCTGTCCAGCATGCACGCTGCTCAATGATATCAAAGCCAAGAACTGTGCAGCATGCCACACACCCCAGCAGTACCTCACCCTTCGCAAGGTGGTTAAACCTCTGAAGAGAAGGGAGAGCATGCATGTAGAGGCGCGACGACGGAATGATGAGGGCGAGGCAAAGGAGCTTTGGGAGAACATAGTCAGCTTCTGCCGGGAGGTAAGAGAAAAATGTTGCTGTTAAGTAATTATTGAGAATTTGAGGCTGCTTCTGGAGTGTGGTTGTACAAATAACCAACTCTGGTTATTCTTTCTAGTTCCTTTGAGTTAGTCATGTCATGAGTCACCTTTTTTTTTTCTTACTTTGCATGCATGTGAATGTCCTGACTTTGAGACATCAAAGGCTGCTTAATTTCTATGTGTAATGCGTCAGTGGGAACACATTGCCTTTCAGAGCACAGTTCTCTCATTGTATTTCCTCTTTTTGTGCTGTCATTGTTCCCACTACTTTAATATCTCTAATTTCAGAGAAATGTCAATAGGTTTTGTTATTGCCGTGTTTCTGCTTGCTTCCTTAGCTGAGTTTTTAACGACCACATAGTGAATCTTTACCACCTAAATGAACTACGGATATGGAGAGTCTAATGTTTATAACCAGATTACCTCTGGCCCTCGGCTGCAGTGAAGTCACTTCACAGAATTTTGAAATTCTGTTTGACGACTGTGACTCTTGTGTCAGGAGGATTTCATTATTTTGGTTTGATTGTGTCTTTTGATTGCTCTGATTGTTATGTTCAAGCAGCAATCTCCAAGGCTGAAAAATGAAGCCAAGGTGGAAGTGCCAAAAACAGTTTCTGTAGTGGCCACTTGAGGATTGCTCCAAAATGAGTCCATTCTAGAAAATTCTCTTATTAAATTGCCCAACAGCAGAAGTCAATCGTCTTGGTATCAAAACATGTTTTGGTCACAATAGATGTATTGCTGTGCCCCCCCCCCCATATGATTCACCCGTTTATTAGGACTCACTGTAACTGATGCGTCTCCTTTGACTGACAGGTGTATGCTGTTTCAGCTTTAAGCTAGGCATCTCCTCAGCTAATACGAGCCCCTGAACACTGTAGAAGGAAAGCAAAATTTCATAATTTTGCATGCTATTGAAATCTGTCAGTGCAGAGTACCCAGTGTGTAGTCTATAGATGTAGCTTGGTAACCAAACTTGCTTTTTAGTTGAAAACATGGCACTCCACCCTTTGATTGTCATTCTAGTTCCCAAAATCCAAAAATGCCATTGTACAAAATGATAACTCTTCATTGCTGGAACTTGAACCAATGGGTGATGTCCATCTTTTTTTTCTGTCCAGCTGTAGCTTAGTTTGTATTTTGGAGAGATTTTACACTGCTTAATGAAATATATTTCCTTTCACTGTGTCGGAGCAGACCTCTCAGTAAGAGACAAGAAATATCATTATGAATGTAATTTCCTTTTAAAACAAAACTAAGTACGTTAATTTTACCAAGGTCGGGACAGACAGCAAGAAGTCCTTCTATAGCACACTCAAAACAAATATCACACTGCAAAAAGTTAATTATGATGTTTTTACTTAACTGAAAAAGAACATACTTATAGTAATTATGTTTTTAAAATTATAATTTTAATAGTGTCAAATAGCAATCCCTTTCTACCTGCTCCAGTGGCTTTTGTATGCAGTTGTCATTCGAACACTTCTTGCTTTGGAGAATATCTCAACCCTCAACATAACTAGCTGAACAGGAGAGTTCAGCTAGCTTCTCCGTTGTAGATGTTGTGCCGAAAAACCTCTAGTTTGTGACAGGAATATTCTTTCTGGATTAAAATGACTTGATGTCATTCATTTTTGAAATATGATTGACAGATTAAAGATCAACAAGTCAATTTACAACAGTTTAATTCCAGGCAGTCATTTTTTGGCAAATGCTAGAAATCACTTTTTGGCATGACACCAGATGATTGATGTTGTTTGGTTTTTCTCATCCCGAGCCTGAGTCTTCACGTAGCCCAGGGCCTCATACCACTTATCTGTGCAATGATGTAAGCAACCCTGACATCGGTTCTTTGTATCAAACTGGTTCAGGCTCACTTTATCTCTGCAGTGCTCAACCTTTGATAAGCCTGTATTATGTTATCATGGATATGCTACTCAGGCCTATCAGAAAGGTTCATTTGAAATCATTTAAGACCGCCAGCACCTGCTCGGGAGACCAACCTGATTGGTCTAATTACACCCCAGAAAAATGAGGGCATTGCAGAATGTTAGACCGTTTAGATTCGGCTAAGTTTCCAGCCGGCTTTTATTCTGTGAATTTATTTGGGTGTCAGATGTGTGCCCATTTACTACACCGGCATGACACCTATCCTGCCATGTTTACAATAGCATAAAGTGAGCCTTCGAATGCATTATTAATGCCTTCTTTGAAAGTCACAGGGCTCACTGCTGCAAGCGTGGGAGGGAAGTTGGCTCGGTAGGAAGGAAGGATATCGGAGATCCCTCATCCCCACCTTCTCCTCCTCTTCTAACTTCATCATTTAAGCTACGCTTTCTTTTATCGTCTGTCTTTTTCTCCTCAAATATTTTACGTCTGCCCTTTCTCGAGCTCTTCAAAGTACTTCATCTTCCTTTTATCCCATCTCCTTCCATCACATCTATCCCCACATGCTCATCCTGTTCTGCTAATACCTCAAAATACACTTTCCCCTTGCCACCCACTACACCCCTCCACCCCCATTCCACCCTCTCCACACGACTGCACTCTATTCTCCACTGTAGTAGTCAGTGTGAGCCTGGATGTGTGCGTGCGCATGTGTATTTGTTAAGGTGAACGTAGGGCTGGCCTATTTTTAGCAACGGAGTTGGAGTGGAGGGGAGCACAAATGATATACTTCCCTATAGTGAACGTAATCACTGACGGCATCAACTGCTGCATCTCGGGTTCACGGGCCAAAGAGATTAAGGGGGGTGGGGGGGGGTGTGTGTGTGAGTGAGAGAGAGAGGGGGGGGGGGGGGGGGATAAATTGGTAAACAAGAGGTGCTAGTCTCTCATTCATCTCTGCCAAGGCACAAGCACTTGCCAAGCACCAAAATGCCAGTGGTGAAAATTTAATAATGATTAAAGCTTTTGGTTTAGGCTGTAACAGGATGTGCAGTACAGTTTGACAGCAAGAATGGAGGGACCGCTTCAGAGCACCCGTTTTCTCTCTGCTGTTGGGTAACTGGGCCAAACTGGAACTGGAGTTTGTTTTTGTTTTTTTATAAAAAATATTCTCTGCTCACCTGAGTGTGGTTGCTTTCTCTTGCCTCTTTTGCTTTTTTGACTCTCCCTGATTGGTTTTGAGGGTGAGAGGTATGTGTGCGTGTGCATGGTGCTAATGCCTGAGAGCAGTCTGCTTACTCACTGTGCCAAACAAATAAATGCTGCTAACAGCCATCAACTTAACTTGTGAACTGTGACACACAGCATGGATTGAACTGCTTTTTGCTGTTCCCTTTCCGTGCTATGCAATAAAACCAGGCCACATTGCAGCGGATTGTTCTTCTCTTTACTACTCTTCATACTACTTAGTTGCTTAATTTTGTGCCATATTATCAAGGACCTTCTTGCCAGGCTTGCGCTGCTTGTTACAGTATTGTGCATGGAAGGCTTTTTTTTTCTTCTTCTTTTTCATAAAATATGCTTTCAAGATGCTAATCTTGTAGCTTGGGTATCAGAATGAGACTGACACAGCCTTGTATGGCTGCCAGTTCTGAGTCTGGAAATGATGGGAAAGCAGCTGGTTTTCCTAGCTCAGCACTGAGTTGGCTGATTGCAGTGTTTGCATGCTTACATGTGCACAGCGATGGAAACAGAGGCGGCAAGACAGCCAGCAAGAATTATCCTGTAGAGTCCACAACACCAGAATCCTGATTTAGGAAATTGCTTTATACGTGATTATAATTCCTACTTTTACACTCTGCTAAAGTCAGATTGTTTAAACTTTGGCGCTTGGATTGTAGAATATTCGATATGAGGAATTAATGCTAATTCAAGGTTAATCTCACATTAAATACACATTGCATCTTAATAGAGATGTGACGCAAGTTAAAAAGGGAAATACGATCTAAATTGCCTTTCTAAGGTATTGGGCCTCCATTCTTTCCAAATATATATATGTATATATATATATATTTTTTTTTTAATGGTAACAGTGGAAAGTCTTGTGTAACACGTCTAAGGAGCCTTTAAATGAAACCAAATGCTTACAAGAACAGCACAATGGGTCTGCTGCTCCTCTCACTGTAGGGATCCCAGTCTGTCCCAGCTGTCATAGGGTGCTGGAGAAGTTGCCAGGTTAACGCATACAATCAGACAACCATTCAGACTTTACATACATGCCCACAGCCAATTAACTTAACAACCATGTCTTTAGACTGTGGAAGGATCCTATAGAGGCACAGGTAGAGCTCCACACAGAAGAGAAAAATGGTTGTTTTGAACCAAGAATGTAAGGATCAAACATTGATTTAAATTTTTTTGTTAATTTATCATCTGTACGATCCTCTGAGTCCAGACTGCAGTCCAGAGTGTCATATCACTGTGCCGTTTCAGAAGTGCCTAATTAACATCACAGAGCATCATGTACACTCCAGATATGAATAGGCAAGTGGCTTTAACCTTTGAGGCAGACTGCAGCAGATCATTCTGCTGATGATAATGTCTTTCAAATGGGTTAGGGCAAAACCCTTAAAGGTACTCACAATACAGGATGTGAGTACAACCGGATAAACCACAGGCACTGCGTTCAGAAAGAATGGATAACAGATACGCAGCATAACCTGGTAGGTTTTGGTAGCACAAATGCGCACATCAGTAGCAGCATTAAAATGTGTCTGTGTAGGCTCCCTGTCATCCAGTTTATTGTAGTCTTAAGAGATTTGGAAAAAAAGAAGACAACTAGATTAAAGTTTTAAAAGACATTTCACCTCTATTCCAAGAGGATACAAGCTACTTTTTTCAAGCTCTTAGGACCAACATTAAAATAATTCATATAATATTGTTTTCATTCTTAAAATAGAGACTATACAGGGTTCGTACGGTGCTTCAAAGCCTTGAAAATACTTGAATTTTAATGTTGCTTTTCAAGGTTTGAAAAGTGCTTGAATTTCAAATAGTGCTTAAAAGTGCTTGAAAGTGTAACTGTATTTCATTCACCACAAATAACTATCTGATTGAATAGTTTTCTTATCAGATCTAAAAAATAAAATGAGTCACAAAATGTAAAAGCAAAATTTCCCCGCCTTCGCTGCCTTGCGCCTCTGTTTCAACCAGTCAATGGTTTCAACATGTGACCCCGCCCCTCCTTCGGACAGTCGGGGATTAGTCCGCTAACGTACCTGTAGGTTGCTGTTTTAATGAGTTTTTGATGGAAAAAGACAGTCGCATGATAGGTGAGTCCTAGTAAATAATTTTCCAGTACGTGTACGTTACACATGCTATTTTTTTAAAATTATGATTATTTTGCTAGCTATCAAACTCGCTGGAGAAATGATTGAAATGCACTGAGTGTGATGCAGTATGGCAGCGCTGTTATGGAATATGCTGTGACTTAGCTAACATTACTTAGCAGTACTATGAGTTACTTTGCTCAAGTGAAAGCTTTAAACATTAGCCCGATACATAACTAGCCAACTTAAGGCTTTCTGGTTAACCCTCTGGGGTCGACGGACCCAGAGTCTCCATTTCAACTTGGGTCGAACGTGCGGACTTCAAACTATATACTAGTTTTCAAATTGTGTTGATAGGCCACGTAAAACCGATGTTATTTTTCTGAATACAACAGTGGCGTTTACTCCGGAGAAAAACTGTAAAAACGGTGTGTTCTAAGGAGAGCGCTAGCAATCACGCTTTGCTTGTGAGCAATGAGTAAAATAAGTAAAAGTAAAAGAAATAAAGAGGCCAAATCAAAAGTAGTCAAAAACGGCCAATTATACCCTGGACCCCAGAGGGTAAAAGGCTAAAAGCAAAGTTGTCACCAAGTACTGTTTATATTTGTGTGTATTGCTGCAGCTTTTTAGAATATTAGCTTGGTGCCTTGGTCCCTCAATGGTAATATGAGGGACTGATCCATATGGTCACAAAGAATAGCCACTTGTTTCTGTGCGACCAAAGTTCCCCGGCTTTCATTCAAAATGTGTTTATGGTCAGCACCTACACATTAAACTACTTTAACATTATAAATGTCTTCAAGCTCACACTGACAGTACACACATTTATGTGTATTTGTATATGAATATTTCATACTTTAAGGCTGCCTGTTTATTTAAGGGAGATGGACAAAATACATTGGAATTGTACATAATAATATCACAGATGATAAATTAAATAGATTTTAAGTAGATGCTTGTGCATTCTTAAAGTCTTATATGTTGAATTGAACTATGTGACCTATTCAAAGCCTCTTCCAGTCAGTGCTGTTCTCCATGCCTGTCTGACTGTACATGATGTTGTTAGCACAAACACTTGAAAGCTTGAATTTGACCCTGAAAAAGGTGTATGAACCATGACTATAGAACTGTAAATGCAAGGGTTTCCATACATTTCACGTGAAGTAAAAAAGAAAATGTTTCCTGTTTTACATCAAGCTCAGAGAAAAATTAATTAATCCCACAATAATATAGTGTCAGAAGTAGGAAAACAAAGACAAAAGCTTTAATGGCTGCATTAGTAACAGCCAGAGCTCAGCTGGGGTTAGAGCAGTTTGTATGTAACAAGTCAGACTCTTTAACCCTTGGTCGCTGATCATAGTTGTCTTTCTCATGTCTGTTAACATACAGATTGTATTCTTTGAATTGCATTAGTTGAAATTTCAGGATCTGTGCGTATGTAGGGACAAAGCTTTGATCTTAACCTCTGTGTTAAATTGATATCAACCCAAAAAAGCCTTGCGATAAAAGCCTGCACATGTGTCACAAATAAACCTGTGAACTACAGAATCAGTAAGCTACGTGACGACCTTGGATGGCCAGGGTGGTAAGGAAGCATTCAAGTGACTCTGTCTAGTAGCAAATGCTGCATCCAGGCTACAGAATTGGATTGTGGGGGATGGTTACCAATTGATTCGCTTCACTCTAACTGCCAGTGGGGTGCCCGCTTTACATCACCCCTCCGCCTGCCTTGCGATGCAACTGGCCGAGTCCACTTCTGACACGGCAGATGGGAAACTGGATAGGGGTTTGGCGTGTGTGGCTGTTTGCCATCTCAGGTTTGTACAGGAGAGTTTTAGATGGGCAGATAGTGTGTCAGGTTTGGTGTCTGGATCTGTTAAAGTATCCGTGTAGTTCTACTCCTGTGTACAGTAGCGGGGCAGTGTTAGAACCCATCGTGTAATTTAAAATGTGGTGTACTCTGCAGGGGAATGTGCCAGAAAGCAAGAAGCTCCAAATGTTTGAAAGTGATTTGCATTTTTGTGCCGCATCCTGGTTAGGAGAGTACAAGATGCCACAGTTGGGCTTTTACTGTGCACATAATAATCTCACGTGGAAAGTGGAAAGAATAACGAGTAAATGTGGAAGGCAGTAATTCACCCTCACTCATAGCATGATCCAGGGCTTGTGTGATGGTCTGTACTGTCCTGCAAATCATGTGAAATTGCAGGATAGTTGGTTCTTTAAAAACTTGCATTAGCAGTTTGAAATGCTTCAGGTCCTCACACAAGATCCTTTTAAGAGTGATCATATTTTAAAATGGATTTTGGAGTTTACAGATGAGGTGTTTTCATGTTCGGTAGTTTTCATGTTCGGTAGTTTTCATGTTCGGTAGTTTTCATGTTCAGTAGTTTCACTCCTTTGTCTCTCTGCCTTCTTTCGCTCTGTCTTTTCCTCCTCTTTCTCAGAATTCAGTGAACTTTGTGGATGACAGTTTTCCCCCCGGACCTCGATCTGTCGGCTTCCCAGAGGGCGACAGCGTCCAGCAGCGAATCAAAAAGTGGCTGCGTCCCCACGAGATCAACTGCAGCAATTTCAAAGACCGAGGAGTCAAGTGGTCTGTGTTCCGCACGCCAAGGCCCTCGGACATCCTGCAAGGACTTCTTGGAAACTGCTGGTAAGCTGATACACCTGAACATAAGAACACACAGCACACTGATCGTTTAAGATAACCTTAAAAAAACCAAACCAGAACAAAAAAGGCGTTGTTGATTAATGATTTGATTGGAGACAAAATAGAATAGCAGCAGATCCTCAAAGCAACAGGAAATTTTTCATTCCGTTAAGTCTCTGTTCAGTTTCTGAGAAAGGTCAGAGGAATGCAAAGCAGACAGCAGCCAACACTTCTCTGTGTGCGTCTGTCAGAGTCTGCTTTCAATGGACACTGCCGCTGTGAGCTAGAGATGGTGTGGCAGTGAAACGGTAATTGAAGAGGATTAAAGAGAGAAACTTAAAAAACAAAGCAAAAAATCAAAAGAAAGAAGGTAAGCATGAAATGAAAGGTTGAGCACAGCGGACAGATGTACAGATACATGTGACAGGGAGATTATTCACAGTAATGTGGTCCTGGACACACGCTTTATCTCCCTGCCCTTGTTCTGGGTGCCCTTTGGGGTTTATGTGTGTGTATGCTGTTGTCATCCATCATCTTCCTGTAAGCATAAACGTACACACGCACACACACAAAATAACAACAAAGCACAGTCAGTCAGGAAGTTGTCCCCAGTATAACTTTTCGCTTCATCACCAGCGCACACAGCTTATCAAAAATAACCCTCCCCTGAGCCGAATCCTCTCACTCGAAACAGGATGTAACCCAAATTCTTTGTCATTGGCTTCGTCTCCCCCACTCTCTCACTCTCTCACACACGCTCACACTTGTCCTAATAAACCAACAAACAGCCCAGCTTCTGCCAGCCCAGCCAACCAGTGACGGCAGAAGAAAGTCGTGCCAGTCGCCTCTGTCCTTGAGTACGGCTGCAGTACAGGCCAACATCAGAGTTCACATTATGACGCGGCTAATTGGATTTTCATTGGATTCCTTTTTTTTTTTGGCCAATTTGTATTTCATCAGTGACTGAATGGGTTGATCGGCCTCACTCAGCTGACACTTAAACAGATGGAATATAGCTTTAGTAATGCCGCCACACAAGAGCTTCACTCTATAAAATAATGTGCAGACTGAAAGCAGCACTCCTTTTATCTTTTCAGATATTGCTGCAGTACTGCCAGAGGCAAAAGTAGCTGCTCAATTTGACAATTTTTTTTTTTTACTTTTTTGCTTTTTTTGTTGATAGAAGAATCAAACTAGTGCATGTACAGCAGTGAGTCTGCGGCGTGCAGAGGCAAATACCTTTAGCTCATTGTCCCCTCCGAAAAGACCTTTCTTTGCACAGCCATTTCATTAATAGTGTTTAAAGATCTTTCTACATTTTCCGATGAACTAATGTACACTTTAAACTCTCTTCCCTTTCAAGTCGAGTCCTCATGTCCCCAGCTGTGATTCCCCAGTGTAAAGAATTACCATTTTCCACATCTATCTGGATTTTTGATTAGCTAATTTCTCTTGCAAGTTAATTAGAGGAAGCAAGCCTGTTTGTCTTTGCTGTGGGGTGTATTAAGAGTAATGGGGAGGTAACCAGAAGGCACAGAAGCTTGACTCATCAAATGTGATTGATTTTCAATGAGGGCTAATTATGTATATATGTATAAAAAAAAAGTCTTTCATAAGTGTTTGAGGCACTCTGTTCAGGAGAATGCTTTAATTCCACATTTAGACTTTAATAGCAGCTTCTCAGTTATTTTCCATTCCTGTCTAATCACATCAGTTGACGTTCCTAAACCATGCCTGTCTCTTTGACGGAAGACGGCGCTCATTCAGCCATTCACTTGTCCGTCACACTCAGCTGATCATTTATGTGGTTTCTCTGCCTAATTCACATTTTCTTCGTGCCTCGTTTTAGTCGCGTCTGTCCGTCCTGATGTGACGTTTCATTTTCCAGTTCATTGAATTTTATCGGGTCTCTAGGTTCCTGAGTGCACTCGCTGTGCTGGCAGAGCGTCCAGAGCTCGTGGAGAGGGTGATGATCACCAGGACCATTTGTCCAGAGGGGGCGTACCAGGTTCGGCTATGTAAAGACGGGACCTGGACGACGGTGCTGGTGGACGACATGTTGCCCTGCGACGACTACGGCTACCTTCTGTTTTCCCAGGTAAGTGCAATGCAGAAAGGTGTTTACGCTGATACTGTAAACGGACAAGAGGGATTTTTAGATAGACTTATATAAAATGGATAAATACTCAAACAAATGTCTGAAATTTTGGGGAAATAAATATTGCAGATCTCTGTGTATTAAGTTGGGAATTCTTAATACGCAAAAAATAAAGAAAAACATGATATGTCCCATATTAATTGCTCCAGATCTCTGAAAAATGAGGGTAAATTACTGCCGGGGAGAACTGACAGATCCAAGACTTTGGTAAAGACCTTCTCGTCCCTTAGTTTGACCCTGAAAACGAGTGCGTTTCGTGGGCAACTCTTAAAAAGAATTACATTTGACTTGGTGAACCCTGAAAAATAAGCCATTAATTAGTTCAAGTTAGTTGATTATGTATTTCTTATCACAAGCACATCTCAAAGGACCCCAGTGAAGAGAAGAATCTAATTAATGAACAGCCAACAATTACGGGTCAAATGAGGTACTGAATTATGCAACGAATAAAGCACAGGCAAATAAAAGCAGGCATTCATGCGTACGGGAGAGACACACTGCGACAGCGTGACACCTTATCTACACCTTATCATGACTCCAACAAACGTCATCTTTTCAAAGAAGACAAAGGAGCAAAACAAGAGGGTAGAAGTCGCGCTCGGTGAGGCAGTGACCTCTGAGCATGCGAGAAATGCTGGAAAAACATTGCACATGCACATTAACAGATAAAAAAAGAGCAAATAAGAGATCCTACCTCTGTTATCAGGTTATCATTTTCATTGACCTTTACATAGAGGAAACTAACCCAAAGACAACATCCTGATCCCTTTCTCAGTGAGTCATACTCAGGCTGATGTTTCCTCTCTTACTTTTTCCAATCATTCCAGGCTCAGAGGAAGCAGTTATGGGTGGCGCTGATTGAGAAAGCCCTGGCCAAACTCCACGGTTCCTACTTTGCCCTGCAGGCAGGGCGTGCTATTGAGGGTCTGGCCACGCTGACAGGGGCTCCGTGTGATTCCCTCATGCTCCAGGTCAGCTCCACAAACCCGCGAGAGGAACCCATCGATACAGACCTCATCTGGGCCAAGATGCTTAGCTCCAAAGAGGCCGGGTAAGAGAGGGAGTAAAGGTGGTTCAGTTTAAAAGGAGCATATAAAATAATAAACCTTGTTTGAAAACACTTTGAACCAATATTCTCTGATCAAAACTACAAACAGAGGGGCACTACAAAGGTGCTGAATGCCAATTTAGAGCATGTGTCCATAATAAAAGTTGTGCCAGTCATCACTTTGATACACAAGCTTTCAAAGCAACATGAGACAAATAGTGCAACTCCAAAGGGGCCATTTCATCTGCGTCCAAACTGCAGGTCCATCTGCCAGAATGATTATTTATTTTATCAAAAGCAGTGTACTAATGAAGACTTCACTCACGTACTATGGTAAACAGAGACAAAGTTCATCACTGAAAAGGAGCATTGGTCTCAAACAGAGGCACATCAGTGGGATTAATTAGTGACATATACTAAAAACTACTATTGTTTTTGTTTTCTGTAACTGTGTCTGCCCAACCTCAAGGTTAAAGTTTTAAAATTTGCGTGTTTTTTTTTTTTTCCTCCCTGGTTACTGAGTAGTAAATGCATTAGTGTCCTAATGTCATTTCTTGTCTTTTAGTTTTCTTATGGGAGCGTCTTGCGGAGGAGGCAACATGAAGGTGGACGATGCTGTTTACGAGTCGTTGGGTCTGAGACCTCGACATGCATATTCCATTTTGGACGTACGAGATGTCCAGGGTTACAGGTACAGGTGGACTTTCTGTTGTTCTGACCATGCCTCCTTATTGCAAATGTATCTTCTTAGAAATCCTTCATACACCATTAATAAACGTATCTGGGCCGTCATCAGTCAGTGTTATTATTTGGTGGCTAGAACATGAACAAGCCCACGAGCCACATGTTGAGCATCACAGAACCCGGTGGCTTGCCAGTAGAGAACGTGTGCACAACAGATCTGTATGATATTCCTTGCACTATAAAAACATATGTCTTCTTTGTAATAATCACACACACAGAAAAGTCTGGGGCAGAATCTTTGACTATCTGGAACATCGTATGGATTAAAAAAGCGAGTTTAGTCCTCTTGTCAAAGGAACACCTGTTCATCCTCCATTATAGCTCTGCTTGGAAAGCCTCTCCTCTCCTCTGTTCTCCAGATGCATTTTAGGAATTAAGTCATCCTTCATCATGGCGTACTGAAATTGATTTCCGGGTCACAGTCCAGAAAGACGGAGGACTGAGGAGGCACAAATTAGAAAAATGAGAAAAGCCTAATGAAGGCTTTTTCCTTCTTACCTGTGAGGAAAAAATTTGACAGTAGCCAGAAATCCCAGAAGTAATTTGCTTAAAACCCACACGCAGCCACTTTCATTTACTGCCATAAAGCAATCAGAGTGGAAGGCTTGGGCTAGACTTGGCCACAGGGCTAGATCCAAAACGAGTTAAAATCCTCCTGCTAGGAGCCCCGAGGAGATAAAAAGCACTCCAGAAACAGTGAACCACATGCACTTTGTTACTTTTTTTCCTGGAAAATACAGATTCTCCAATATGTTATTCTGTTATGCCCCTTGTGTTTTCTACAGTATGGAGGAGGTGGTAAAATAAAAAGGGTTGTTACAAAGCAGCCAGTCATCCATAAAAGGAGTAATATGACTGTGCAGAGATGGGGGTTGCTGCTTTGACTGAAGGCTGTTGTCACATTTACTGCTTGCTGAATCTGTCTCTCTCGCTGTTTCCGTTATCTTCCTGCCTCCAGGTTGCTGCGGCTGCGTAACCCTTGGGGTCGCTTCTCGTGGAACGGCAGCTGGTCAGACGAGTGGGCAGACTGGCCTCAGCACCTCCGCCATGAGCTGATGGCGCACGGCAGTAGTGAGGGGGTCTTCTGGATGGAGTACACTGACTTTATAAAGTAATTATCATTACCGCAGCATAAGTGTGATCTTTTTTTTCCCTTTTCTTTTTTTGGGTGGTCATACTGAAATCATTTTGGTTAATCTCTCTATACCCTAGTAACCCTTGAATTCATGCAGTTATGTACAATAAGGCTATTTTGTTGTCATCACTGTCATGTTTGCTTTCACAGTCAGTGGCTGTACCTGCTGGCACAATAGACCAGTGGCTGAGACCGCTAGGCTACGCTCACAGATTTCTTGTGTTTATTCCAAACAGACTCTCATTAGAAGACTTTCTGTTCGATTTACCCACCACTAGCTGCTTAGAATAGGTTGAATGAGTTAAAGAGTCCTTTATTGTACCGTGATGGACACACGTAATGTGTTAAATGTGACGGACTGTTTGGCAATCTCACGCCTCTGTGGATTTTACTGACCATCTGGTATTGACACCAAACTGAGTTACAGTGTTTTTGTTGTCGTTCCATTTTGCTTGCTGACAAGCGCATCATACACTGGTTTCCACAACATGTTGTTATTAAGAATTGTGGAGGGGGGGATTTGGCAGGCAGAGGCTTAGGCTTGTCATGGCTTTCAGTTTGTTTTGTCATATTAGACTAATCCTGTCACTCAGTCATATACATCATTGATAGTGACTAGTCTTTCTCTAGCTGTGTTTTGCTGCATGCTGACATGCGCTTCTAGTTATCACATGGAAAAATAGTCACAGTTTTTATTCAAGTATTTCTATAAATGCTATTTTCTTTGTCATATAAAAAAACGAGTGTGTACTTAAATAGCGCTTTTTTTTACTCACTTTGATCACTCAAATCAGTTTCTTACTTCAAGACTCATTCACCCATTTACACAGGCCTTTTATTTTTTTACTTATAACCAAACATTCACACACTGATGCATCGGCAGCAGCTATGGGTTCACTAACTTGTCCGAGGATACAACACAGAGGCTTGAAGAGCAAATAATCGAACCACCTTCCGATTAGTAGACGACCCGCTATACCACCTGAGTTACAGCCACCCTTAACCCCCTATATATTTATTATAAACACGGCCTGTTCTGTACTCTACTATCACAATAGATGGATACTCATACTGGCCACAGTAGGAAACAGTGATGAGTTCAAACCTCAGGCTAGCTCTGTATAATGTCAGTGAAACTAGATGTCCCCAATAAGGCCTCTCTGTTACACACCTCTGCCTGTGCACACAACAACCTCATCCATCTGTTGTATAAACCGCATAGCCCCCATGACCATGATCACCACATTTTTTAAAACTTCAACATCAGCGTTTTGGTGGCTGCTGTGTTTTCTTTTCGCTGTCAGAAGTTCCCATAATTGGATTAAAGACTGTAGTGCTAAGTTATCCGCTAAAGCTAGCTAGCTTGTTAGCGAGCTTCATTTGTAATCTGTATGGCTGCAATGCAAGGACACATATAAGCTAATTAGGGCTAAGTAATGGACTAACAGAGAAACTGGAATTTCACTTATTAAAACAAACTTCATCTTGAAAGGTGGGTACCACAGAGAAAGCCTTATTATTTGGTAATCCACTATAGAAGCTTTAGCTTTATTGCTACGGTCTGTGGGGACTGCCCCTTGGTTTACGAGGAGCAGCCAATCGGTTGAAAGTCGGCTTACAGTTGAGGAGAGAGAAGTTGCTTGTTTCAGGAAGAGGGCAGAAGGAGGCACATGAGCAAAGTCATGCAAAGCAACTCTAGTGGAGCCAAAGAATAATGACGCGGAGCTGGAAAGGGCTATAATGGGGCCCTTTTACAAGCAACTCAAATGGCCATAATATTTGAAGAAAACTGAACTGAATCCAAATTACAAATGTAATAAAGCTTAAATATAATCTACCATTCACCAAAATGATATTTCATGCGTAATTGAATAAATGGACAAGACTCCACTTGCATAGGAAGTTTAGTTTTTTTTAAATAACTCAGCAAAAAGAACTGAAGAATGGAGGAAGTTCACAACATGAGCAGCTTGACGTAGGGCTAAATTGTCTGTACAGTGCATTTGTCTCTCTGAATTTATTGCTCTTGTTGTATTATGAAGGAGGAGGGACATGAATAACAATGTGGCTGTCCTCCTGAACAACTCCAACCTGAAAAATGTGTTCAGCCTAGATGAGAATCCCATATGTCTTTGGGCTGTTTATTGTTTTCTCTGACAGGCAAATAATCTCTCAGCTTTGTACGACATGACAAACTTGCAGCATCTCCCTAGACTTGTTTTCAGTGTGAAAAAGAAAAAGCGGTCAGCTTCTCGGACAAGCAAGGCCCTTAAATCAGCCCATCAAGTAAACAACCAGGGCCGATGTTGATCATTGATAACATTCTTGGAAAGTGGCTAGACACAAAAGTGAACTAAATACAAACAAGAGGATTCATCAGCAGACGTGTTTGTCTTTTTTGATCAAAGCTGAGCGTAAAACTTAAGCGTTCCCTCTTTTTCCTCCTCTCGCTTCTTCCTGATTGTCAAGAAGACAAAAGTAAGATGTAAGACTGTTGTCAGACCGAGGTTAGGAAGTGATGAAACACTGAAAAACAGACTGAAAGTAAGGAAGAGAGTCTCCCGTGGGGGCGATGTCTTTGAAGAAAGAGGTCTGATATGCTAGCAAGGTAAATTGTGTTTGTACAGGGATGCCCTCAGAGGCTATGCTAACGTTAAAGAGTTGCCTGTGATGCATACAAATAATTGTAGCTCATGACAAGAGGAGATCAACCGGTCACACTGCTAGCATCTCAGAGGAACAGGCTCTTATGCAGGTCTTTTTCTTTCTTCTTCTTCTTCTTTTTTTTTTAAAAACATGTACATTTTTCCCCCTCCCACAGGTACTTTGACTCAGTGGACATTTGTAAGATCCACTCTGACTGGCAGGAGGTGAGACTACAAGGCTGCTTCCCCAGCAAAGCCAATGGGCCAGTCACGGTCACAGCTCTCACTGTGCTGGAGAGGACGGCACTGGAGTTTGCTCTTTTCCAGGAGGGAAGCAGGTAAATAGGACTCTAATCTAAATCTTTCAGTACCCACACATTTTTCCTCCTTGCCCTTTTTTCTCCTAAGCCTCTTCCTCTTCTCTCCAGGCGCTCCGACACAGCTGACAGCCACCTGCTGGACCTGTGCATCATGGTCTTCCGTGCCTCCTTTGGTAGCGGCAACAAGCTGACTCTGGGCCGCCTAATGGCCCACAGCAAGCGAGCGGTGAAGAAATTTGTTGGCTGTGATGTTATGCTGGAGCCAGGGGAGTATGCTGTTGTCTGCTGCGCCTTCAATCACTGGCAGATGAATGTCAGCAGCACAGGGGGTCCACCCACACCCGGTAAGTGTACAGATGCATTGGTCACAGGTAGCGCTTTAGTGTTCTTGCTTGTGAATGTTCGCTTAATGACGAAGGAACTCTGTTAAACATGTAATTTTTGTCTTCATTAATTGTTCTCCCCTCCTTCCTAGTCTCTAGCCCTACCAGTGGAGCAGTACGGCGGTCCAGCCAGGACTTCCCCGGCTACATCCTGGCCATTTACAGCTCTCGTCAGGTGATGGTGGAGCAGGTGGAAGCGACCGCGACCACATTGGCCGACGCGATTATTCTACTCACAGAAAACAAAGGCGAAAGACACGAGGTTAGAAACACCAATTCCAGAAAAAGAGAAGTAGTAAAGCTGCAATAATGCAAACCATATTTGTGTTACTTATCTACAGTCAAGTGAAAAAGGTTTTCACAGAACTCTGTGGGGTCCTGTGAAAAATTAATTATACTCCATGGTTCAGCAGCTACAACTTGGGGGAAAAAAAAGTTTTTCTATATGACTTTATCCCTTTCTTGTTGTGGAGGAATTTGTGGAGCCCGACTGTTCTTATCACTGTTACCCACAAACAGCTCAGTTCAGAAAAAATCTTTAAGATTCCTCCTAGTAGAATTACATGAGGTAAAGAGTTTAGGTCTAAACCGCAGCGTTTCCATCTTTTGGAGGTCTGGACTTTGACTTTGACAGTCATTCTGTTGTAGAGTTGCTACTGTGCTTGTGATCATTATAGCCAGTTTTGACAAAGATCTCAGAAGGATGGGCTCACATTTGACTCTAGAGTGTGAACAGTATACAGAGGAGTTCATGGTGGACTCAGTGTCTGTAAGGTCATCAGGTCGTGTGGCTGCACAATGAGGCCAAATGATCACCTCTCCACCAGCGTGTTTGATAGTTGGTATAACGTGTTTTTGTTTATGCTGTGTTGTAGTTTTTATGAATTGTGCTGTTGTGAACGTTAATATTTCACATGCAGACTGAAGCCTGTATATATAACTCATGGGTGTTTTCCAGTTTCTCTGAGTATTGTATGATTGGACCTTTGGGTGAATTTGCTGGAACGTGCTCGCCTGGGAAGGGATGATCAGTTAATCAAACACATTTGATTAGCAGCATCCTGGCTGCTACTTACCCTCTTCAGTCCTGTGGAAGCAGTGGCGATGTATTTAGTTTTTCTTAGGACTGCAGAGAATCCTGTATATAGTTGTAGGGTTTTGTCTTTCTTTGTACCCCCAATCTTTATTGCCTTTCAGTATAATATTACAGTCCAGATGATAAGTATTTGGAAAGTTTTTCTTTTTTTATCTCCGGGCTGTGCGCTTTAGCAAAATTATTTTGAAGTGAAAGACTACTGCCTGAACGTGTCTGATTTAATTTAAATGTGTTGGAATGAAAATACAGAAGTAGATAAAGCTTTTAACACATTGGGATAACCAAAGTAATCAGATAGTTTAACCAACCAAAGCCATCATATTTAGTAGATAGTAGCTGTGACAAAGGCTATCCCCAATCCCTTTGTCACAGCTACTATCAGCTTTTTTTATGTGGGGTCTCTCTCACTTTAGTGTGGTTTTAGCTGTTCAATGGCACTTTAACTTGTCGATGATATTCCATTTAGTCACCCTGAAGAGCCTGTTTTGACAGTTGGGTAGTACAGCCGGATGCTGAACCGTCCTCTACAGAGTTTGGCTGAATTTGGGCAATCCTCCCACAAGAATACACTAACAGGATGGAGTATTCTGTCCAGAATGCTCCAACCTACCTCACAGCATTTATCCTGTTGCATCTAAACATCAGTAACTCTCTGTGTGCCCGGTCTATTGGCAGCCATGCTGTACAAGACCAAATCATATTAGAAGCACCTCCATCTCATCTTTGACAGACGAGAGAGCTCACTTTGTGTTGCGAGCTCTTCTTTTTTACCCCTCCGCTCGTTTCCTTTTTTCAGAACTTGTATAAGAGTTGTTTTTTGGTTTATTGTCCATAGAAGTTAGTTCCACAGCCCTGCATCACAGTTTTTTGGGGGTTTCTTTTGTATTTTTCCTTTGTTTTAACGTATGTGCACACTTTCTTAAGATGGGCCCAACGTCTTTGGTTGCATTAATTCCATAAATTAGTAAATAAATGGGTTGAAAAAGTACATCTGAAACATTAAGAAACATTTAATAGTCTATTGTCCAATCACTATTGTACCACTATCTCCAATTTGGACAGTCTATTAAAAGGAATTCCACATACAAATCTTTGTATATGATGCTGATCTCCTCAAGCTAAAGCACAGAGCCTGCAGAACAAAAACAAATGCACAACAGTTAAATCCTCACAGTCAGAATGGTTCATACTCATCAATCTGAGGCATCTTACACGCTTGCAAGTCCTGTTCTTCCTTTACACGTGCACGTTTGTGTGCGTTACCTTTTGCACGAGCTCGCGCACGGCCGTTCATACCCAAGGAAACAAATCCTCCCTGCTCTTCAGAACAATGCTTTCCTGAAAGCGCCTGTCACATTTGGTGAATATTTTAGAGGATGACAGACCTTTTTAAACACTTGAGATCATCTTTGTTAAATCATTCAGCTCTTCAGAAATTCACAGCTGAGCACTCAGGAGCACATGGCAGCCAGTGCGTCAGCTGTAGCGTTTTAGCAATACAGTTAAATGAAGATTTTCAGTTATTATTAATAAATAATTTGAGCAGTCCCGAGCTGTGAAGAAAGGAGAGCTTTGTGTTAAGAGCAGATAGAGTACAAGTATTGCCCAAAGCTATTTTTCAGACACTGGATGGCATCGCTTGTGCAATTGGACGTGACAGCAAATGACAGCAGCTAAAGTAGTTTAGCTGCACTTGTGTTTGCTTTACTACAAATACAAGTAGCCCTAAAAGAGAACAGCAGCCACTGTTAGAGAGTTAAAGTGGCAGCTGAATGCAGAATGATGTTTTTTTTTTAATCATTATTATTATTGCATTTTAATAATATTAAACTGATTGCACAGAAGTATTTTTTCTCCATTGAAGCTACTTTGTAGTAAGCACATTTCTTCCTATTTCAAAAGCGTTTTAAGAGCATTTAAGAGCCATACTTACAGAAATGTAGCCACCTCTCTGTAGATAGTTGCCGCAATGCTCTGTAAATCTATGGAATTATAAATACTATATATATAAACTGCACTATATGGAAATTTAGGATTCTGTGTATATACAATACTATATGTATACAGTGTGGAAACATGCTTACTATACTTAATGAAAACATAGGATAGCCTATGTTTGGAAATATAGGATGTCTGTAAACTATACTATGTGATTGCTTTATAGGATACTGTATATATACTATACTGTATTCTTACAAAATAGAAATGTAGGATACCGTGTTCTGTATTTTGCTGATGTAGTATCAGCGGTGCTAGCTTTGCACAAGTAGTGAAATCTGAGGTTTGCATTTAGAAAACAACCCTTCTGCTTTGAAAAATGAAAAAAATAAGCTTGTTTCCTTGTGTGCTCTCAGGGCCGTGAGGGCATGACATGCTACTACCTGACCCACGGCTGGGCAGGTCTCATCGTGGTGGTGGAAAACCGCCACCCCAAGTACTACCTCCACGTCTCCTGTGACTGCACTGACAGCTTCAATGTGGTGTCCACACGCGGCAGCCTCAAGACCATCGACAGCGTCCCGCCTTTACACAGGTACACAAACCACTCTCTCTTTTCCTCACTTGAGCACAAAGTCAGAAAAGATAACAAGTGCACAGATTAAATTCTCCGGGAACATTTAGGTGCAGCAAATATCCACCACACTTACATGCTTATATAAACACAGTGATCTCACAGGATTAGCACGCTGTGTTTCTTAATAAACTACCCCAGGCTGGTCTCAGCACAGTTAATATCTGCTTTTGTTTTCTGCTGGACTCTATTGTGTTTCTCGCACTACTCCAGGCAGATAGATGCTGGGAGAATCAAGCGTGCAGAAGCCGTTTACATGTTATTAGTTTTCTGTTTAACAGCATGAAATCTTCCAGTAAGGGAAAATTGAGGGCTTTACCTGTCACAAAGTTACAGCCCATATAATGGGAAACTGTAAAAAGTCACCATGCATGAAGCTGCTCTTGTCATTTTCTCCATCTAACAAGAACATAGTGTCACTTTGCTTGCCTAAAAAGCTACTATCACAAACTATCACAGTCTCATATTTCGCTCACTTGCTTTATACGATTCATAGGTGAAAGCATTTAGTGGCAATGTAATCATTCAAAAGAAGACCATATCCAATTCATATTCATAGAGGTGTGAGTAACACAGTCATGGGCAGCAAGCCTTTATTTCTCACCATATGTCACCATATTATCCCAGTTTGTCTTGAAAATGGAATGAATCATTGGTTCTGATTACCGTATTTCCCGGATTACAAAGCGCACCTGAATATTAGCCGCACAAGCTAAAATCAGGGGAAAATCCTGTTTTGTACATACATTAGCCGCACCTGACTAAAAGCCGCAGGTGTTTCAATGTTGACTTATCATATGTAAGAGAATATGCACAAAGGGAATTATCAGCAAAGAGATGGCTGTTTGGAGACACACCCCTTTTATTAATATTTTGAAAAACAAGTTATGGGTACATATTTGCATAACTTTTTAGGTATATGTACAAGTAGCGGTAATTACAAGTACGAAACATATACTGTGCTTCATAAATGAGTAACAAATGTAGTACATAACAATAACCTACAGCACACCAGAAAAATAGATTTGGCCTACCTTTTAGGCTCAGGTGCAGTGACACGGCTTTAACAAGAAAAAAGCCAGTCATTCACCACCATCTTTCTCTTTTTCCTGCGCACTAAAACCACCAAAGTCCTCTTCTCCAGTGTCGGATACGAACAGGCTCAGGATGGCTACGTCATCCACTCTCAGCTTCTTTCCTTCGTTGTCACTTTCAAAACCAAACAAATCCTCGTTGTCAGTGTCAGAGTCGAACACCCTCAGAAGGGCCGTGGCGGTGTCCTGCTCTCCATCATGCAGCAGTCCAGCCCTTCGAAATCCGTTGGTGATCATGGATGTTTTCACACTTTTCCACGCTGTCAGATTCCACCGGTGGAGTTGAGCATAACTTGCTTTTCGCAAGTTTATCACCGCTCGTCATCCAGCGCTACTTTGAAGTTTGTCTTTCGCGCTACTTGTACGGCACTATGTTGCCTGGCGGATGGACATGTGACCAACATACCACTCTTGAACCCCGATACTGTGTGTCTGATCACATGCCCTTCTGCCAGGCAACGTAGTGCCGTACAACAGCGGAACAAACAAAACAAATCGTCTTACGATATGACAAAAATCATGGACAATCCATAGAAAAGCCGCACCTGACTAAAAGCCGCAGGGTTCAAAGCTTGTGCAAAAAGTAGCAGCTTATAGCCCGACAATTACGGTAATCAGCTTGGTTTTCTCCACGTGTAGGTTTAGTTTCTCCGAGCAGTTCTCACATCACTTCAATTCAATTAATTGAAACTCATTTTAATTATTTTGAGGACGGAGTGGGATGAAACGACTGTGGCGCTCTTGTCCGTCAGCAGCCATCGGATAACTGTCGTAGCCGTTTGTTTTGCCACTTTTCGTCAGAAGCTGTAGCTGCACTTTTTAAATTTCCTTCCATTAATGCATGATTAAATTAAATGACGCTGCACTTTTCTCCTGAATGACGAAGGAGAAATGATGCTGGAGAGTTGAATTAATTCCCCCCTGTGGTTGTTTTCAGTCTCTTACTTTTGTTTCATACACAAGGCACAATTTAAGACCACTGTGTTTGTATTCACTCTACCTGCGTTTAAATGTCAACAACAATAGCTCGAAGGCTCTCTCTCTCCCTGCAGGCAGGTGCTGGTGGTGCTTTCTCAGCTGGAGGGAAATGCCGGCTTCTCCATCACCCACCGCCTGGCTCACCGCAAGGCAGCCCAGGCCTCCCTGGGAGACTGGACCCCCACCAAGGCCACACACAGCCCCCAGCTCACCCCGGACATTGACGGCCTGCACCGGCCCCGGCCTCTATGACCACCGCCCACTTTATCCCAGACTCACTTGCTCTAGTCCAATAAACTGTCAGACCACTGGAAAACAAGGTTGGGCACAGTGTGTGGATCCCTAAAATGCAGAGAAAGATGCGTTTTTTTACGTCTCTTTAGTGGTGCATCTGAATGTGAAGCATGACGGGAGAGGGAAATATTTAGTTGCTCTCTTCCTAACGCTCCATGGATGCTCGAGATTTTGTCCGGACCGCACATGCTCTATCTGTCCCTTGCCAACTGGATGTGCCATTTGAGGATAAAATGAGCGACAGGGGAGTACTAAAAAAACCAAACAAACAAAAAACCCACAATATTTCACCCCAGCACCTGAGAGGATCCAGTTCTGACTACTTAACATTCTAGACATTTTGTATAGCTGGCAGCACCTGCTGTATGTGAAACAGATGTCAGGCCTCAGTTTGGTATGCTTGGAGATGACCCTGCTTTCAATGAGCTTCAAAAAAAAAAAAAAAAAAAACCAGGGTGAGGTGAAACTTCCTGAGCCATTGACCGGCCCACGGACCATGAGCCAACCACCAGATCAGACACTTCCCCCTCCCTCCGTGTCGTCCACCAAGACTGCTAACAAAGTGGGCAGACTTCTTGGGGGGGTTATCGCCCTCATCCTCAGTGCGGTACTTTATGAGCCAAACCCCAGTGATTTTACCCATGAAACATACATGTCCTGTATTTTTTACATTTTTGGAAAACATCTCAGTGTGAGTTTAACTTGTTTTATACACAACCCTCATTGCCTCTTGTCCATATTTGTGTTAGGGTTTTTTTGAGGTTGTAGACAAAGCCATCATTCATACGGTACTGTTCCCTCTCCGTGGCACAATCTCTAGCTCAGGACCAAACCTGTGATTTGTACAGTAAGCTGGATTGGCAGGTGGATGGTGCCCAAGAAGCTGCAATAGCATCTTTTCACTGTTGCCTCCACTGTTTGTGATGTTAGTGGGGCCATGTTTGTAGAGACTGTAAGGTTTTTATCTTGTGAAATACTGAGCCGTAATGGAATCACCTGGCCTCAGTTTAGGGTCTCATCGCTGGAGGGCTTCTCGTCCACTTCAGAAGACAGTTTATATCTTTCCCCATGAATTAAAATTTATGTGTACGGCACCTCCTCCCAGTCATCGCCCTTCTGCATATTACATGAGTCTTACACTTGAGGTTTGTAACACCCAGCAAATTGCATCTGATCTTGTTTGGTACAGAAGGTGAGATTAGTGTCTGTTTCCCACGCTTGCACAGTTTGCCAGCATGTCAGTTTATACTATAACGTGCTTAGGGAGTACTAGAGTTGCTATTGGCTATTTGAACAACCAGTTTGCCATGGGGGAGCTCTTAAGAGGAGCTGCCGAGTTTACTTTGGGAGGGCAGGGACCACTTTTGTTTGCTTGGGTGCAGCGTGAGCGTCTGGGCAATCCTCCCACAAGGATACACTGACAGCTTGTTAGCAACAACACAGTCCTCGTGAAATAACAAATGATCATTTTGTCAGACTCGGTGCACACACAGCGAGACAGGAAAGAGACCCCCGAGATGGGTTGTGACACAGAAAATAGTTCTCTCTGAGTGTGCTCGTTCAAGGGAAAGCTGTTTTACGTAGGTCCTTATATATAGGGTCACGTTTTTTGGGGGGTTTTTTTTCCAAGTGTCAAAGCCATTACTCCTCATTCATCATGCCCTCACCATGGCAACATAGATGTCTCATCAGACAGAGAGGGGAACAATTAACATGGTACTATAGAGACAGGATTGAGTGGGAGACTTTTTATTTTAAAAACGATGTCTTACTGTTAATTTTGTGGTGAAATGGAGAAAAACTTGAAACCTAATAAGCAAAAATCCAGCAGCATTCATACAGTTAATGATTAAGTGGGGGAAAATTTGATTTATTTATTTTTTTTGTTGTTGTTTTTTGTATCTAAATCATTTTAAATGTAAAAAAAACTAAAATTTTATCATGGGTAATTTTCACTTCATATCATCTCAGTTTTTCTCCTTTTAGTTTTAAAATCATTGATGCTAAATGGCTGCGCTGTGTCCCGATGTTTGCAGTGCAACGTTTGTTTTTAACGAAACCCAGAGCTCAAGTAACTGTAAATATGCTTTCCAAAGAAACATCAATGTGTAATGACCACTTTCAGATGTGCGTCCCCGTCTGGCCCTGTGTGCATGTGTGAGAATGTGCGGTCGCAGCCACGTAGCTGCTTCAGTCCCTGTGTCTTAATTTATTCATACAAGTGATTTGCAGCCCTGTTTTTCTGAAGCTGATGAATGACAGATAAAGGAATGTAATGAGGCTTTTACAGCTTCACTCTGAGCCCAGATGGATTGACGTGAACCTGCACTGAAACGACTGCGAAGGCACCTCAAAATCAAGCGTCACTGCTGGATCACTTTTACGTTTTACAGGAGTTTTAAGTTTTGTTTGCTGGTCTTCTGTTAGGTCGTGTCCGTAGCTCTTCTGTGCTTTAGGAGCGCCCCCTGCTGCTGAATAGAAAACAACCAGAGAAGAGGTGGTCACTGACCGACCCATCCAACCCACCCACCCCCCTTTTTTTTTTTTCCTCCTTTTTCTTTTTTTTTGACCCTCATTGTAAATTGTACAATTTAGACAGAAAACTGAAAACTTAAGTCAGACTAAAGATTTAAAAGCAAAAAAATGACCGTTTGAAAAAAGAAATTAAAATATGATAGTAGATAATAAAAAGTAACCTAATGCTGAAAATAATGAACTCTGAAGAATGTGATATATCTATATATAAATATATATATATATATATAGACATATAAATATATTTTATTGATCCTCTTTTTTTGGGAGCGGGGACGTGGTATATGTGTACAAAAATATGTATGTTTAATTTTCAATCTCAGGTTCCAATGGACCAAATAAATTTTTTTTAAAAATGAAAAGGCTTTGGTGATTATTACGAAGTAGTATTTCCTTTATGTATACAGATTTATTTATTTATTTTTAGTTTTTGGAACTCATAGAAATAACCTGATGCATGCGCATATTTAATTTTTTTTCCTGTTCAGGCTGCTGTAATTGAATAAAAAGATGAAGTCAAAGCTTTCAAGCTGCAGGGGAAAAAGCACTGACTAATTGAAAGAGCAGTGTATTTCCATATCAAACATGTTTTGTTTTTTTTTTGTGTTTTTTTTTTAGCATATACATTGGTTTCTTCACTTTTCACTGAGCTTTACAGATCTGTTTTCTGGTGTGTTTATCAGTTTCTGGTCTGTAATGTGCCTCGTTTTCATCTCTGAGCCCCCTCTCCCCTGCTGAGAGCTTCTTTTTTTTTTTTTTTGCGCTTAATATTTTTTAGAACATCTCTTTGGTACTTAAACTACTTGAACATACAGCCTTCCTCCTCTCTCACCCCATCCTAATTTAGCTGATTTGAATCTTCACCCACCCCTCCCTTCTCTCCCTCCTTTTTCTAAAAATGACCTGCTCCCCACTCCACTCCTCACTTTTTGGCTCCTGCACCCACCTCCAAGGCAACCCCTCCCTGCCCAAATCATCCAGTCCCCCCCACATCCTCTTCATTTAACCTCATATGACAGGAGTCCCCAACCCTCCCACCTTGGCTCACTTTTCTAAAACCCAGCAGACACACCAGAAAGGCTCTCCGAGGTTGTGACATCCAGCATAAGGAGCTGTCAGCCCCTTTCTAGAATCATCTAGGAGGAAGCCTCTTCTGATTTGGAAACGAACAAAGGTACGGCCACGATCATATCTTCTAACATAGCCAGGGCATCTTCATTGTTAGCAGTAATGCTCAGACTAGTGGAAGGTCTGTGTACGCTAAAATGCAAACAGTGGTCAGACCAACGAGGAGAGAAAAGTGAAAACTTGCCCTTCTCATGGGAAACCTGTTCACTTCTAAGCTCTATCTTCCCTGCTGCTGTGCAGATATGAAATAACCAATTAGATATAAGCCTCTGAGTTTAGTCTGCACACATGATTAAGGCTAAATCACCCCAATACATGGTATGAAATTGAAAAGATGCAGTATCCCCTCGGAGTGGAAGGAAACTTTTCCAGGAAAGAGGACTGCTGTGAGTAAAGACTAGAGTCTCGGTGTGAGAGGGATAATTTATTGTGCTGTTCTCAACAGAATATTGTGTATTGCTGCAAACTGCTTGAGGTTTAGTGCGAGGGGAACGTTTTCAGCTGCTTCCAGACAGGTAGATATATTTGATCACAAAAAAAAAAAAAAAACACGAGTGGGGAAATTACAGCCATACATTATCATTATTTTAAGCACAAATTCAACACTTGCTTCGAGTAAATTCTAAAGAAGGACGGAAGGAGGTATGTGAGCTAGAGATGTAGGAGTGCCACCACCAGATGATCACATTTCTCACCCATCCTGTCCAGCTAATAAATCATTTGATATTCAACCCGCGGAGGGCACGGGATGTGAGGATTTCCATGAAGGGCAGAGGTACAATGACTCACCTCGAAGAGCATGCCTAAATAGAGCCTTGGCTTGTCTCAGATTTGTGTGAGCTTCTTGTCATGAGAGTTCTCATCGGGGCTTTCAGGTCAGCGAGTGTAACTGGGGACAAGGTTTGTGTGTTTCCTTCACAGCATTTCACATAAGTGAAAGGAAGGAATGTGTACGAGGCTGTTTAATGTAAGGCCACTTTCACTGTGGCTTGGTGAAAATCTGGGTCTCAAATAGTCCAGTACACCTGCTAACCCAGTCATCATAAAACAGTCAGTGCAGTGCTAGTAAAAAAAAATACTTGAGTGGCATGGAACGGTATGTATGCCTGCACCAAAGTCCCCATTTACAGACCTGCTTCTTCTCATTTGTCAGTCTGACCACTGGCTCTGCTCTGTGTCTGTTACTAAGCAGATAACAACACACAAAATATAAACCAGCATGTTCAAACTGAAGACCAGGTGTTAATAAACCATGCAGTGCATATGTTTATATAGTTATTTAATGCTTTGTTCTTCTCCAGTAGAAAGTGTAGGCCATAATAATGGCATCCCAGATCCCTGCACTGCCACAGTCCTACACTCCGGGGACTGACAGCGTCTTTTCTGACCAGTCTGGCTTTTACTCTCTGGACTCCAACGTACCTGGACTCTCAAAGGTGATTCTCAACAAGCTCAACCTGAAGGACTACGGAGAATACAGGTTTCCAATTTTCATTTTTTCTTCTTTTTTTCCAACGTTCATAACGCCCAGACCTGGATGGCATATATGCTTTGATCGGTTACGCTTTAGAAATTTGCACAAATTTCACATGTCCTACGTGCTCAAAAGTTGCCCTTTATGTCACTTTAACACCTCAGATTCTTGAGCATGTGTCTTGCTTGGCAAATGATTTAGTGTCTGACTCTAATCAGGGCTGCACTTGAAGGGAAGGCTAGAGGAATCTCATTCCGCAACTACAAAGAGATGTTCCAGAGGATGGAGGAAACTTTCAAGTTCTGCGCCGGCTGTAACGAACTCCCCGAACATCTCGCCGAGGGACAGACCCTGAAGCGCTGCGTGAAGTGAGTGCAAACTGCACCCTGTTGCGTTTGATTTACAGTATTCGGTCATTAACGCCGATTAACAACAATCGTTGTTTACAGTCTGAATATTTTCTGGAAATTAAATCTCCACTGTTCTCTGGACATTTCTGTCACCACACAGCCAGGATCTTGTTTTGATGTTGTTGTCCAATAGCTGTCATGTGTGAGGCATTACCAGCTGCTGCTGTATCAGCAACGGAATGATAAGCCACCCAAGTGTGGACAGCACTACAGAGGTGGATAATGGCCAATGGCAAATATAGCTAAGTCCCCTGACTGTGATTCATCTCTCTGCAACTCTGCAGCTTATTAAGAGCAGCTTAATGCAGTTCATATGTCACACCATCAGAGAGAGTGCTCAAGGAGAATATTGAGGAAAAAGCAGCGGAAAACACTGCAGTGCATTTTCGTGAGCACCTAATTGTTTTTGTGCCTCGTTTTTCTTTGGCCCTCCGGCTCCCTGCTTCTTTTTTGCTTCCTTACCCGTCTCTGATTCATGCCGACTCATTCATGCTGTCGTACAGGCGCATTCCCTTAAAATTCTCAGCTGCCTCTGCCTCTAACCTCTTACCATTACCAGGAGGCATTTAGGCGCACAAAAAACAGAAATGCTGACAAGTTATACCCTCGAGACCTTTGACATTAGAATTACCACCAGCGTTAAATCAGTAGTGCTGACTTTCTAATGCCGTCCTAATCCTCATTCTTTTTCGCTTTCCTCTGTTTATTAATCTCTTGGGAAATGGTTCACACTTTAACTTTCAAGGGCACCTTGTTTTTCTCACCCGTGTTTTGAGTCACTTCTTCTACTTATAAGCCTCTTTTGGAGAATTAGTACTCGCAAAGTGCACAGTGCTGGAACACGGTGGCTGATAAATGATTTTATGTAAATGTGGGGTGCCTCTAAGGCTGCAAATGACTGCAAGGTAAAGTAATATACTCTCCCAATGCAGCAGCTGCTGCTGGCTGTCAGACCACTACGCCAACACATTGCCTCATCATCGTGCATGCTGTGTGATAACACAAAGACCTGCATCCTTACTGAGAGGTCACAAACTCCTACTTTTACCTAGTATGCCCCTGTTTTATTTATTTTTTTTATTTTTTTCCCAAGCAGCTGCCAAAAGCAAGTCAGAATTCATCTTCAGTCTCATTAGTTTCTCACTGCACAGGAAGGGCAACATATTGGTTCTGTATGTAAGAAGCTATTTGTGACTTGGCACAAGCAAAACATTCTAACTGGTGGCCTAGTAATTAAGAAGCTCTCTTGATATACATTACACTGCATGGAGTACTCATAAATATTTTTACTCTTTAGCTAATACTTAGCATGAAATACCTAAAAGCTTAGATAGTTTAGCGTAATACAAGATTAGAACCAGTAGGGTGACCAGATCCCAACATGCTAAATGTAAAACAAAGTGTGTGTTTTTGCAGGACTTGTGGTGCCTTACATTTTCCCACCCTGGGAGTACCGTAGGCAGCATGAGATGGTGATATAGTCACCTGTGGGAGACACAAGATGACAACCTTTGCCACTATCTTCACAGACATTAAATAAAAGCTAGATTTTCAGAAACTAGAGACAATCAAAATATGCAGGATTGTCTCAGTAGGTGGGAAGGGAGGGAAAGGTATAAAAATACTGTGCGCTTACTTGCTTACCCTACTATATTGCCATGCTCACCTTCTGAGTGTGGCTTTTCTTGGCAATAGATTGGACTTTTTGAGCTTAAATTAGGAAATCCATATACAGCCAAGTATACAGTCCTGCGAAAGTCTAAGAACACCACATCATTGTTTTGGCTAGCTTAAAGAACCACCGCTAGCAGCAATAACTTGAAGTGATCGCTTTCTGTGTGACTTTATCAACTTCTCGCATTGTTGTGGAAGAATTATGGCACTCTCTGTTTTTATAATGCTACTGTCATCAATATTTAAGCTGCAAAATGAGACCTGTAGAGTCTGAGAGGTAGCTAACTGCAAATAGCATTGACATTTCATGGTCTGACCTTGGGGTGAGGATGGTCGGACAACCACCACTGAAAAGATTGCAGCATTGTGTTAAACATGCACCTGAATGTTCCAAAACAAACGGCTGAAGGTGGAGAACAGTAGAAGTACGGAGAATTACAGCTTCACAAATAAAGTAATGCTTTTGCTTACCGTCTTCTTCTTCCCCACACCAGTTTTTCACTATGTTACCATTTTTCTTCGGTTTTCCACCAGGTGTTTGAATGTGTACTACTGCACTAAGGACTGTCAAAGAAAGGACTGGGCTCAGCATAAAAAGGTTTGCAAGATATTGCGGCTGGTGGCAATCGACAGACTAGTGGAGTGGCTAATGTTCACAGGTGAGAAATTACAAGGT